CGTGGAGGAGGATCATGTCATTCTTGGACGGAGGACGGATTATGCCCGCCTTGCCCAGTCGAGAGCGTGAGAACTCATTTTTATTTAGTTTTTTATTCCTGTTCTTTTCGTTTCTTTTTGTGTTGGGTTCCCCAATAGCCGTTTGCGGGGGTGACGGAATATGGTGTACAGTAGCAGCGATGTACGTACTTCTAGATATATGTACTCGTACTTACGGCTATATTTTTGTACTTTCTCGCAGTTTCTCTTTTGTTTTGGGTTATACTTTTGGCTTTTCTAACCGGAGGCGCTTCGCGCCTATATAAGTCCGAGAGTTGCAGTATTTTTGGCATCAGTTGGTTCGCATTCGAAGTTTGGCAGCGTCGGAGTTTTTCTATTAAAATCTATCGTCGGAATGCAGTCAGATTCTCGCTTCGCGTAGGTCGTAGCGTATGCATATTATTTAGTTATGTCACATTGAGATTATCAGCTCATTCTCTGTCGTTGAGTCAGGTCGGTAGGATTGATATTACGGTATTATCCCTATCGTACTCGTCTCTCCGTCAGATGTCCCATAACTGCGAACGTGGGTCCAAGGCCAGGAAGGAATCCACCACCGGTTCGCATTTCTGTTTACTGAAAAAAATAGCACAGTACCGGCTGCAGAAGGTCGTCTATGCTGTATATCTATGAGATGTTACACGTGTTCTGTCATATTTCATAATCAGTATCAAAAATCACTGTTCAGTCTTTTGGGGAAAAGCAACCGCTGTGAATGTATAAGTGTTATCTTGCGTGGCTGGCAGCTCCAGTTAGTCCAATACGTATCTGGTCTCCGGAAAAATTCTCCGGAATGCCTTCTGAGTCCTGATATTGTTGTGTTAGCTTGGTTGAGTCATCTACAGAGCCAGAGGTACGGTATAAAGGTCAACAGAATAAGTCGACTGAACAGCGTCGCGTCTGTTCTTAGTTCAGAGGTTATTCTCTACCACCAACCAACCGTAGAGCCTCCAAGCTTCGGACACTAATACACTAATCCATTTATGAAGAAAGGGAAGCATTGGTGGCTGATTTTTATTGCCATAAGCTGTAGCGTCAGATACGTATATTTGATAAGCTTCCAGTTTTACAATGCGGCACTGCTCGAGCACAAGAATTCATGTTACAGCGTGCAAGTCCAGAATTATATAATTAGGCTAGTTTTAGATAAATTCTTTAACATTCGCGCACAATCTGGGCTCTGAACCCAGTCCGAGGCTCGTTATAAAAAGAAAGCATAAAACAACAGCAAACCAGCAAATTAATTTCCTATAACAAACAAGTGGTCAGCACGGTAAAACGTTTTACTGACGCTGCAGATTAACTTAATTCGAAAATAGGGATGGCAAACCATTTAAGGCCAATTTGATGGCCACTGGCCAGGGAGGTGCGGAACTGGGAGTAAAATTTGGGCTTCTCGCTGTCCATCGCGATGCTTAGTTCGACGTTGCTCCACTCACCGCTACCGGTGTCATACTCCTCCATGCTGCGCACCCGGTTAATACCCCGATTATGCACCCGCTCTTCTCGCAAAAAGATTCTGTGGTCCCAGCGTCCATCGTTCATCTCGGCGCTCAGCAGCTCCCATGCTTTCGCCTGCGCATTGAAACGCTCACAGGAACGCAACGGCTCACAGGGAATACTCGGATAACCCGGTGGCATACTGGGCACCCCACCCGTCACGAAAAGGTTGCCATCGTCAAGGGCAACTGCCGCGCTGCTTCTCCTCGGTACCACCAGACCGGGGAAGTCCTCCCACTGACCTGTGTCCGTGTGGAAGGCCTCGACGCAACCGAGCTTTTTATCGGCTTAAAATCGCTGTTGAACACAATCGCGTCGGCTTTTGGATGAAAATAATGATATCCCGCGACCTAATGACGTGTCTATCCAAGCAATTGGTAATGAGCCACGTTCCTTACCGAAATTTGTGGATGTGCTTACAACAACCACGGCGGTTGTTCCCACACGTGAAAGAAAGGTTAAGAACGCGGGGAGTTCCCGCCGCAGATCAGAACATTCTCGAAGAGAAACGGGCTTTCCGGCTCGGAGCGTTGTGCAGCACCACCAGAGATATGTTGCAGAAATCGAACACCGGCAGGATTTCTACTCAGCACTGAACTAATTGACTCAGTGGCCGAATTAATAATTCTTGGATCAACGCTGCTCTTGCTTTGCCCAATAAAGTCGTAACTGCGGTTGGGTTCCACTCCATTACATTCGCTAAAAGGAACAGTCACCCTGATTTTCCGCCACAAATGGTCCTTTACGTATAAACACTGTTGAAGAAATCATATCGAAACTAGTAAATGCTGTGTTCACTCTTACGGTTGTACGTATGACGGTATGAGTCCAGGTGAACAATTGTATACTCGTCCAGATTGATCATGGCTCATGGGCACAAAGTACCAGTAAAGATCCTCGTACATCCGTCGGTTGCTGCTTTTTGTCACCAATTAAATCTGAATTCAAGCTCGTCACAAAACCTCATAAGAATTCCGCCTTTACTTTAGGCCTGGTTTTGCATAAAGGTCACCATGGCGCCAGAAATCCATTTGCGTGCATGGATGCATGTGGGAAAGGGTTATCATTAGACAAGCCATTTATTAGTTATTGTACTGCGATGATTTAACCTTAAAGCTTTTGCCACATGACTTTACAAAAAAAACCGTGTCACATATTTCCCCGCTTTTGCCCACGCAAAACAACCATATTTTGCAACTGCATAAGTAAATATCATGGTTGCTGATGCCGAAAGGTTTCGTAGAATAAAAATGATACAAGCGTAGTGTTCGGTACAAGTTAGTTAAAATGATGCTTCAAACGCCTGTGGACCTCCGAGCTTGTAATCTAACAAACACAGCCAATAATGTGCATTTTACTTCATACGTTTCGATAATGATTACTGCGAAACGCGGTTCCAGTTGCTAGTTCCCTGTATCGCACTATTGTATGTATCGCTGGTAAAAGGTCCCATTTGACGAGTGTAACCTTGTTTGTGTCCTGCCGGTCGATCGGCTTTTCTTGTCCATTCAGTACATTATGTATTTCAAGAAATGTTTTCATAACTGCGTAATTTCCTTAAAAGATAAATGCACACCGTGGCGAATTTAACGGGGGCTACCGGCTTTAATGCCCCCACCCGTAATTCGGACGTCAAAAAAACGTGCAGTAGAGGGTACATTGCGAACGTTTTTACGCCGGAGGTCCTCGAAAAAGCGAGAGAATGCTCCCCTCTTTGGTGTGAGTTCTTTAGCCCTTCCTCGTCCAAACCCGCCTAGATTCGCCGCTGGATGCAAAAACAACCGTGAAACATTGTTCGAGATCGGTTCAGTGGGGAGATTGTGCTGGCGACAGAAAGTCTGGAAGTTAGCTATTTCGTCGGTAGCTCGGGTGACCTTATGCCTCTGAAGGTGACCCTTCACAGATCGGTCAGAACCATATAAAACCGACGATTTTAGCAGCAGTAAATGTGATGCATGGCAACGTGTGCCAGTGCAATGTCCTATTACATACCTGTTCTATTTGTTAGTTTACGTATTTAGTTGAGTAATTATTAAAGAGCACGTCGCTCCACGTCGTGACAGTAAAATTAGTAAACGTTAAATGACATTCAGTTAAATAGTATCCGGTTGTTATGTTGCGTCTGCTTTTCGGCTTGGCATTGTCTAATGCACAGTTACTTCGGCGGTAAGTGATACGTAAGTGAAAGGTTCGTTGTTGTCCAGGCATTTTTACCGGCTAAGTATGTCCTTAGCGAATGTTTCGATTGCTGCAAACTGTTAAGCTTAGCTGTTTTCTAGCTAGCCTACTTGTTGTTATTATTTGTTGTGTGTTATGATATGTCCATGGCGGAAAAGAGTGTAACAAGTATAAAACGGCAGAGCTGACGAAGCAAGGTGGTTAGCATACACGTATGCACAGTAATTCCCGAACAGCGTTGAATACAGCCTATTAAACCTTTCTTGATTCTACGTCAGACTTTAAGAACTCAACACAGCCATCGGATTCAGACGGGCGAAATCGTTGCGATCACGCTAAGAAAATATTAAGTACAACTTGTGATAACAGAAGGGACAAAAGGAACAAAACCTTCAGAAATCGATTTCGTATATATTCGAATTAGGAATTCGTTTGAGAATATTATTGTCCAGCAACTTATACAATAAGTAGCCAGTCAAAACGTCGTCCTTGACCGGGTCGGTATTAAGGTAATCAAAAGACCCTTTCACGATCGTGATCGACAAACAAACCGCACCCACAGCAACCCCAGCGGCCAGTCCTACCGGTCCACCCATTGCCGCTGGCGCAACAGCAACAGTAACTCCGGTGAAAGCGGATCCTGCCAACGCCGCAAGACACTTGCGCCAATCCACTTCGATCTTCTGCTTGACCTGTCCGACCAGAATGTTGTACTTTCCATCATGTCGTCGTCTATATAACAGTACAGACTTTTGAACCAGGCGGTTGCCGACGGTAGGCGTGCTGACACATTTTGCTTTGGAATCGCCGACAAGGATGGTGTTCTCATAAAGAGCTTTCAAGTCCGGGTCCTGACAAGCTTCTTTTAAAAAATGGAATTCTTCCCTGGTGATGCCAGTTGTCAGCTCATATGAAAACTCAAAAGTGTCTGACAAGAGACTTGTTGTGCCCCATTTCCTCGTCAGCTCCTCGAACTGCTCCAGCTGACTGTGAGAAAATGCAAAACCCGTTGGTCGATTGTTCTCCGTCATATCTCTCAATATGCTGTATGGAAACTCCAGATTTACCACTAATCTTGTTGATTAGTAACAATTTGAAAACTGCTCGGGTCTTATGGCAGCGTACTGGCGAGAGGTGCCAGATAATTTATCACCATGCTTATCTGTGTGTCTACACTGCTAGTACTGTTCTAACAGATAAAGACGGAAGGAACCGATTCTAAGTGTGTTCTGCTATTTATAAGAAAACTTTACAATAGTTAGGCTAAATTGTGAAGTGTTTTGTAATGGTTTTCTGGTGGCTTACGCCGTGTTATCGTGTTAGCTCGAGTATCGAAGTTGCTTACAATGTGAAATAATTTTACTTGGACTCAACAAGGGATCTGTGACTGCATCGCCTAAACTTTCAATGCTGTCAAACTGAATTAAAAACGCACTTCCGTTTCTGAATTGTTCAGGAAGTTTTATGGTGGGATCGCCTCGTCATATTTTTTTGTACTGTGGTCATCGCTGCTATTACGCAAACCAATTTTAAGCTTCTGATTCGACAAACACGGTAAGAGTATTGTACTGCTACTACTTTATAGTACGTATTCAATTCATTTGGCTCTAAAGTTCATAGTCTTTATTATTACGTTTATTTTACCTTTGTAAATGCGTAGGCGGTAGGAATATCGCAGAAACTTATTTGTTTTTACAGCCAAATCACAGGAATCAGAATGATAGAATCCTCAACACCGGAAACAGCACTGTTCCCACCGCAAGCACAGGTGTCCAAGTGGAATCAGGCCGTCCAACCTACGCTAACACGGCCATCTACTCATAATACGAGTAAATCTCCGGCGTGCGACCATAAAGCGAGTTCCGTACAGAGTGAGCTATTTTCTTTTGAATACGACATCACGACTGGACTAACACATGATGAATTGCTTATGCTGTCAAATGAAACCAAGTGTCCAGAGGAAAAGCTGTTATATGACAATGCTCAGATGTCGGATGCGCATTCCTCTGTAGTGCTTTTAAGGCATACTATTTCCCCACTAGAAGACTGCACTAACTACCTCTACATCCAACGATCGTTAGAAAGCGAAGGAAAATTTGATATTTTGGCTGGTCGAGCTAAACGAATAAAGTACAATGATTACAGAAAGAAAATACTTCCGTTCATGGCGACAGCAGCTGGAGCAGGTGCCACCGCAGCTGCAGTTACCCTCGCTATCGGCGCTTCGAATGTCGCCACGCCGATCGGATTATGCATCGCAACCGCTGCTGTTGTGATTATGAAGCACGTCGGTAGTGTGCACCATGATACACTGACCATGAAAGCGCATAACTGTGGTATATGTCGAGCGCAAGCTGAAAAGGAGATGACAGATTATATCACACAAGAAATGAAACGCCGGGGAATCATGCCGCCGCATGGAGCTGTCCATGTTTCTTTCTAGAATGAAACTACATAGTTACTGGAACTGCTTTAACTGGAAATGGCTATAATGACAGAAGTGCAAGCACGGTGATACTACTGCATAATACTAGTTTTAAATTTTAAACATATTTTTAAATAAATTTTTAAACATTGAAAAGACAATCATATTCTCTGTCTCTCGGAAATTAAAAGCTCGTGTACTTAACGCTGTAGCAGCTTTCTCGTTGATTACAGCCAAAATATAGCATTTCGTTAAAAAAGTAGATGTCCAAACTGATGCTCTCTTTTTTTTTAATTACCTTTACAGTTTTGACTTCACAATAAGTACCTGGACTAGGGAGAGCGACGCCAACGGCCGAAGGGTATTGGGGAGTGCTGAAAGATGTAATTCTCGAACGCCAAATTAATACAGGATGCACCGCAATTTTGAGCTGGTACTGATATTGCTGACTCCAACATACCACGTGGAGAAACGCAGAGCTGTCAAGGTGGAATAAAAGTCAATCTTTTTACCTTAGTGGTCGTTCTGCAGACGTATCGCTTAGGATTTTGTATTATATGCGATCGCCGCGTAGTCAATCCGTAACTCCACCAGACCGGGACACTTCTCCCACTGCCCGGTGCGCGTGTTGAAGGCCTCGATACAGTGGGAGTGGATATCCTTAGATCCCGATCCTGCGATGTAGTAAATAATCCCGTCCATTACCGCGGTTGCATAGCTTTCGCGGGGAGTTGGCTTAGTTTGAGCGGGGTAACTTCTTGTATGTATAGATGTTTAATCGCAGGTACGAGCACTGATAAAAATTGGTGCTGAAGCCATACAAAACGTCTCCGAATACCACGGCCTTTCAAAAATGCTGTAAGTTGATGTAGTCTGCCCTCGGGAGCCGGCGCCAAGCCCCTCGGACAATGTCAAGCAACAACGTGCCGTACAGACCTTCCAAACGAGTATTAAAAAGTATTTCCGTTACGCGTGCCACAGCGCAGTACTCTAAGGCGTCCGTCCCCTGCAGCGCGACGGGCAGGTCTAGCGGACGCAGGGTGTTCGAGATGGGATCGTACAGCTGCAGGTGCACGGAGTAGGTCCGTCCCATATTGAAAAAAAGGGCAGTTCTGCGTCAGTTTCGTTTCCTTTCAACCGGCACGGAGTATCGGCAGCCAGAGCGGACGCCCGCTGGATGCAGCTGCGTAAGGGTTCATCAGCGGCAAGGAACAAGATGCGTGATACGTCGGCTAGTTGCTGCCACTCCAGCTCGGATACGACGCTGCTCCGTGTTGCTTTGTTCCAGCGCGAAGCGTTGCCGAAGCGGCACCAGGAAATTGCCACCTACAAGCATCCTGCAGATTTGTTTCCACAGATGATATTACCACTTTGTTACGTACTAAAAATGATGTGTAAAAATAATTGCAGCTTTACTTTCGCGAGTTGATTTCGCTCTGCAATCGGCAGAACCGATTATGACGTACTTGTATAGGTAACATGGTGAAATGCTGAGCGCATAACATGAATGATAGATCATTGCAACTACATGACGTAATTAAGCGTTCAGTCGGTTGTTGAGATTAATTCAAGAAACAGAATTAATTACTTGTGTTTCCTACATTAGATAGTTCTCTCTCGGTGGCGACTTGCACATCTTCATGCGCCAGAACGTTCTTCAGTTCTTCCGCAGTGCACTCCAAGAATGCATCCGTCAGCATTATCACCAACAAGTTTTTAGCCACCATTTGCAGAGCGGCGTCTCGCAGTTCGGCATAATTGTGTGCATTACCCAACCGCCAAAAGTGACAGGCGTCGTCCACGTTCAAATTATCCAAAAGTATTTTGCAGCTGTATTGTGCAGTGCGGTCGAATTGCAGGTAGCTGTCGGCGAACATATAGCGCTCGCGGCATTCTTCCTGGAGATAGTCAGCTGGAAAGTGTCTTCAGCGACGTGAAGGAGAAGGACCATGACAGCGCTGCTGTCCACCCGATCGGGCAGTGTCAGCCGCAAACTGGCGGCGGTCTCCTCGCGGAACCCTCCGGGAGCCAACATTGCCGCAAAGTAGGCCGAAGAACGAATGAGGCGATCCCGCGGTACAGCAAGGCTGTTCTTGCCGAACAACAAGGTGACATGCTCTTCGCGGTCCCAGCTGCTTATATCCATTGCCAGGGGATATTAAGAGGAAACAGCGAGCTGAATGTGACGTGATTATGTACAGATATAAAAATATACTAGAAGAATATGTAGTGTTTTGGAATCGATCATGACACGGACAGTATCCGTATTATAATTTCAAAGAATGATGCGATCCCAACGTACTTACTGTTGGTATCATATGCAGTTTATGATTATTACCAGTTCTAGCTGCGGTTTAATAAGCACGGCTTTCGTCTTTCGAGCGACAAGCAACGCACTTGGCGATTTAGTACGAGCATTAAAAAAGGAAGAGGAACCAACACCCAAGCTGTAAGGTGTGTAGGTAAGTGCCAAGCAGGGAATCAAAACGAAATGCGGTATTAAGCCCGACCAATCAGCCAGATAAATCATTTTTACGCTTATTAGTTGTTCTGCCACCGTGCATAACGCTACTACGATAATCACGTCACCGATAAAGACATACTAATTTTATAAAGTACTCGTACGCGTTGTACTAGTACAGAACTATTCACTCTCGACTCGTATTAACTTTTACACAAAGGAGCTGGCAACGTTCTTAAACACCGAAGCTAGAATCAACAAGTTTGGATTTATAGGATTGTTATCACTTATCCATTTACTCCAGGATAGCGTAGAATTGTCAGTTGCACAAGGCTGCCACCAATCGCGTTCATGGCTATCTTGTGCCATACTTGCAGTGCTTAATTATTACGTACGGCGATAGATTTGACAATTTCTCCTATCTTTGGTGAATTTATCAGATAAGCGGTATCCCTTTCAGTCAGACTACCGGATGGCATAAAAACAAATGTGGAGAAAAAGCACAGCCGTTTGCATGAATGCTTTTTTTCGGCTTGTTTCCTCAAAAAGCGAGCCAATATCAACAGACAGGTCATAGTAAGCGCATAGTGTTTACTTCCTAGCTGCTTGCGTAAACGTATAGTAAGCGTATAGTGTTTACTTCCTAGCTACCACCTGGGCCTGCAATAATCGCAACCAGGATACCATTTCGCTCGCAGTTTTTTGGTGACTTGTCTTTTCTGATTTTCTTCTCAGCATTTTTTTACCGAGTTTCAGCTAAAAGTGGGAGCAACGCATACAGGAAGTTGAAATACTGCCGCTAGGGAGAACCGTTGTAGAGGAAGACCAGCCGACTAAACGCTCACAAATGTCTTAATAATTAGGAACGGTTAAGAGACATACGACCTATGGACAAAGGTTATCGCTGCATAATATACACACTAAGCACTGACCACACAACACTTCCGGTGGAGAAATAGTGCGGATGCCAGGATGCATATTACCATATATTATCAAGGGCATAATAGGATGGAATAGAAGAATAACAGGAACACATGGACGAAACGTACGCGAAATGATTAAGAAAGATCGGGGACGGCGTCTGGTTTTCCCAAATTAAATCTGTGTTGAAAGGGGTTTAATTGCCGTTTTCAGCATCGACAGATTGCGCAAATGCTGTAATCGGAGACAGAAACATCCACTACATACCGGTATAAGCAATTTTCCCGAGCATATCATTTCACGTTCCTGCCAACACTAAAATCACTGCTGACGGCTGATATACCATCGTTTGCCACTGTTTAGTCTCATTCACAATATAAGTATTATCAACCGTTAGTCGTCATTAGTCGGGTATTATCAGCTAGATGTTATACTGCAGAATTACAGAAGCTAACCTCACAAGAAATACTATATCTGTAAAGCTACTCATGACAAAAGCCACGTTCCCGCGTTTGAGTTTTCTGCTAAGTCAGCGTTTAATAAGTTCTAATTTCGCAAGCGTTTCTTTGCTGGGCCCTCACGCTTCTCTTTTTCGGCATTACTTTCCCGTTTCATCTTCCATTGCTCCACGTCGACGCTCCGTATGAATATGTCCTGGAACTGTATTATCTCGGTACGCACAGGCTCAGTTTCGCACACTTTGACACAGTGACCTCCATTGTCCAGAGCTTGGTAGCGGGCGACGACTTGTCGTTTGATTCCGGGTCCGAGGTCCAAGTGGCAGACAATATCTCGGCCGCGGGTCAACAAATCTGCAGCACGCACCACCCTTCCCGGCTCCATCAACAGAAGTGCTCCCCTGCCAGTGTGCTCCATAAGACACACAACCACTTTTGCTTGGTGAATGCCAATCGCTTCCGCCGCGACCCAAAAACCTTCCATCCCGGGCCATACCCCCGTATGATCTACAAAAACCTCTTCCCGAGACTGGAATTCCAGATGTCCAATGCGGAAAACCTGCGGCATTCGTGGCTCCGTGGAAAACGGTAAATCCGGCTTGGTTGTGGCTAATTTATACGTGTATAGGTCCAGCTGCTCCCGTTCCGTTAACAGGCCAGTCTGGAAATAATACGGTACATCCATCCAACAGGTAATGTGTCTAACTCGTATACAAAGTATAAGAGTTGTTCTAATGCCGGGATAATGTCTTTACTTGCGTAAGAGATCAACTTATATGAAATCAGAACAATACGTCTTTGAAACCCAAAAAAGCCAGAACAAGTAAACAGCTGCCCTACCTATACTGTACTTCTATAGTACTTTAGAACAACCGACCGTGCCTAAAACAGAAGCGGCGTTTCCGTGCTGAATTGGCCTACACTAGTGCGCTGCCGCAAAAATTCGGTTGCTCACGCTTCTCCAGTTTGCTCTTTATATGACGATCAAGTTCAAGATTAATTGCAAGTTTAGACAGATGGAAAACACCCAAAAATAGTTGCTAGTAACAACAAACGGTCAATCTGGCAGCATTTGTTAGGTAAAAAAACCCAGTGAAATTCGCCAACATTTTGACACAGTCAGACATTTGGACAGTAGCACGACCATTCCGTTGTCAATCTGACCAAGGAGTAACGAAGTAGTGATCGAGATAGATTACTAAAGAAATGCTGTGTGGACTGAGTTTAGCTTGACTTTGGCCATTACTTCTGACATCACCACAACGTGTTTGACCTACTGCACGTACGCTTTCACCTGCGCTAATCGCTACTCACCAAGGCGGGCCCGTTTGCCAGCTCAGTCGGGCTGAGCAGCGGAAACCGGACATGAAATAACGCTTCCCCTAGCACTGCACGCCGATTAACAGCTGACGCCTCCAGATTATTGCATTTGCACGTTTCCGCACTCCAGCTGCAGACATATTATAACAGCGGTAAGGAATGCACAGACCGAATACCGTATTTCGAAGATAACAGTTGAGCGTACTCCTGTCTGAAAGTACATCTGTACAATGGGATTTTTTTAAAACTGAAAATTCCGAAAAGTTGGCAGTTCCGATTCCGAAACAGCTGCCACATTTAGGCAGCTGATTCAGAATTTAGGAGTCTTAGACGTTTCCTCACCAGTACCACAAGAATACCGCTATCTAGGTGTTTTCGTTCTGAAGAAAACGCTTTCGAGAATATCTGCCATGCATATTTGCAAAATAGGAGAAATACTTTTGTTTCTGTACGAGGGAAGCGGCAACTCTTTCCCATCGCTTTAGTTAATTATATCACTTTCTCTGCTGCATCTTACCCGTGTGCAAGCGCTCACGTGATACTGCCGCTTGCCTCGTACCTCAGCAATAGGGTACCCGGTCGGTGCACGATATATTAGTTATTATTACGAACAAAGCTACTTACTTTTCCACAGCGGTGTAGATTATGTTTTCGTTAACTTGCAGCGTGTTGCGCTGCAGAAGTTTATGCAGTGTTTCTTGGGCAATCGAACTAAACTGCAGCGACTTGAATGCAAGTTCGCTGTATGCATCCACCATGTTGAAGCACAATTCCACTATATCTTCGCAATACCACTTGATAGCCTACAAGAAAACGTTACACTCCACAGTGCCACACTTTGCTACATTTTTAGCTGTGGTTTGCACAACGTTCGGTTGAAGCAAAGCGGCATCTTCGCGGTTATAAGCGTATTCCAAATAAAGATAGTGACGACTTATGCCGACAGTATTCACCATTTCCAGGTAAAACAGGCAGTTGTCCGCTTGGATTTGGCTCCATATGAAATTCTTGCACTCGTTCACCAGTAGGGGAAGATCGTATCTATCCGCACAGCACAACAGTGGGCACACGTTCTCCTCAGTGACATTAATTTGATCTGTATAGATAAAACTGCAAAGCAAAAGTTGTACGTATAATAATCAGCGTATGTGATTTCGATTAGTGCAGTTTGTTGCTCTTCGACGTACTGCAGCATGATCTCAAACGCTTCCGGTAGTACATCGGGAACTTTGATGACCTTTCTTCGCTCAGGCAGGCTGCCGTAGAACATGGTGTGGAACACGTCGCTGCTTAGGCTCAAAATGTACCTGGGCATTAATGGTCAAAATGCGTCAACGAAATACGGCTGCAAAGCGAATTATATCGATGGAGTGAACGTCTGCTATGCACGTACTTGTGAGCGGCGAATATACGTATTTCCCCGTGATCTCGGCCGACTGCGAAGTCGACATCGCTCAGTTCACCGCTGCGCAGGGAATCCTCCAGTCGCTGGGATATCCCTGCCACTTCGCCTCGCCGCTGCGGAGCGTGTAATTCGTTTGCGATCGTTGGAGAGGTGCGCGACATAGTTTGATAGGAAGCAAATCCTGAAATTGGGGATATTTTGTTCTACTACTGGTAGGGCATTCGCAGATGCTGTACAGATATTTGTTGCCAAGTAATTACTTGCTTACATGAACGGAACACTGAAATTAAAACAGTTCGAATACAGTTTGACAATCTTCCGACAGCAACACAACAGAACCGAGAAAACTCCAATTAAAACTACAATCGTATTCAGTACGTAACAGGTCACTATACCGTAAAAATAAAAAATCTGGTCAGCTAGCTGTTTAGTTATAAAGTTCAAATTACCGGTGTACTGTTTAGCGAACGATTACTGGTTGCAGCAACTTAACCTAACCCTTTCCAGTTGCTATTTTCACACTGATACGTTATGTGAACCGGAAATTGAACCCTTATCGATTGGATTTTGGAACCTTTACAGCAGACGAAGTACGAGTACTGTCCTGTACGGTCTTTTCAGCACTACATGTGTCTGCGTTGGCAAATCTTAACTTGTATAAATGTGAGCCACAGAATTCGTTGTACATTGGTTCGACCTGAACATTATGGTTCAGGTAGGCTGCCAACAAGAAATACGGTATAAGTAATTATAACACCAAGCGTTCGCTGAATTGATCGGAATTAATGGGCCTTGTTTTTCGCCTTTAACGGCTTTTGAAGTACGGACTATGGAGTGGACGGACAAAGGACAACGGAGACCGATGATTGAGCAAATCGCATTTACGGTTGTAATTTGTTGTAAGTACTGTGCAGCTGTAGAGATATACAGTACGTCTTATCCGTCGGGATTAGTCACGGACTGAAACTCTCAGTTACGGCAGATTTTTTGAGGGGCTATTTGTTTTTATTTCTCCCTACCTTCCTCTAGGGCAGAGCTGTTTCACAGTGACAGATGTACTAAGCAAATTATATTATTCTGCAATTTCTGAAAACATTTCAGCGAGCGATAAAAGACGAGACTATAGCAGGCACACGAGGTGCGCTCTTACTGATGCCGCACTAGAATCTCCCCAGCGGCCCAGCCACAACAACGAAAACATACCGTGATTAGGTAAAATAATAAACTGCATTGCCAGAAAAAAAAACAAATGAAGCATTCAGACAGATAGACACATTTTCTGACCCCGTACATAATCAACTTTCTGAAAATCAAGAACAGAATTATTCCGAGTATACCACATAACTGAATGAATGTCTTCGCATGACACCGAAGTTGTTGCCGAACCGTACGCCAGGCTGTTGCCCAAAAGCATACGTACCAGCCTATTCTCGCATGCGCTTCTTGATTGGGCCTTCGCGTTCCTCTTCCTCGTCGCTATCATCCCCGCTGTCGTTGTCATTCTTCCATTTCTGTGCGTCATCGCGCCTAACAAAAAGGTCCCGGAAATCCACCACCTCTTTCCGACCACAGGCTTTGACAGTGTGGCGGCTTCCGCCGTAATAGGAGCTCTGATAAACAGCGCTGGCACATCTAGCCACACTACAGTGACACACGAGGTCGCGTCCGTTGGTCAAGAAATCGGCTGCACGCATGACCTTCCCAGGTTTCACCAACAGAATTCTTCTTTCGCTTCCGTTCTTCAAGCACACAACCACTTTCGAATGAAGAACACCGATGACCTTCGCCGGCATCCAAAACGGGCTGTCCGGATCCTCTTCCACAAAACTTTTCTCCCGAAACTGGAATTCCGTGCGACGAAGGCGAAAAGGCTGGGGTTCTCGTTCCTCAGTGGAAAACGGAAATGTTGCCGGTGGCTTGGTCGTGGCCAGTGTATAAGTGTAGAGATCAAGCAGTTCCCGTTCCGAAAGTAGGCCAGTCTAGAATAGAACGCAGAACGGAAACGCTAAACTGTATTCCCGTCTGAGCATTAAAATGCAACATAAGCGCGCTTCAGATGCCTAGAGTAGAGGAAAAAGTAGTCAAAGTAAAAAGCAGGCTCGAGATGGAGATGCGAACGGCACGGACACTTAACAAAAGCCAAGCTACTCAACCATGCGAAATTTTACCACGGTTCATATAAGTCGGTAAATATCCCACCCGACTTAACTCCGCAGATGTTTAATATGCATTATGTTTCTGTAGCTTACATTATGCGCTGAGATGTCTCACCTTGGCTGGGCCGTCAGCCAGCTCAGAAGGTTCCAGCAAGGGAAATCGGATGAGGACCAGCGCCTCCCCCAAAACAGCACGCCGACTGGCAGCCGAAGCCTCCTGATTATTCTGCTTGCAAGCTTCCACGCACCATCTACTGACAATTACGACAATAATAGTAAAAAATTGCAATGCAACGAATCGTGGCTGGTTCGATCGTCGTCCGGTCGAACTGACTCGAACCAGGCACGACTGGTTGTTGTGCTATGTACAGTGACACCGGAGCGCAGGCCTAACTGGTTCGGATTTTTATCAAGTTATCCTATTATATTTCGCCTCCGAGCAGATGAGAGTGACACCAGTAATACTGTAATTACATAACGTATTAACCAGGAGATGATATAAATCGCTTTAACTGGCAATAGTCATCAGATAGCCATAAGTTTGAAAAGTGCAAAAGCGAACATACTACTCGACAGTTAAAATTTGATCGTTGAAAAAAACATCCAGTTGCTGATTCTTGGCTGTCAATCAGCAATTCATGCGCTACGCTACAGTCGATTATTGCCGTAAAGGCGTAAACTGTAAACAGCCTGAGCATGACTGCATGAAAGAAGCTACAGATACTCACCGTTCCACGGCTATGTAGACTGTGTTTTCGTCCACGCGCAACGTACTTCGTTGCAGAAGCTTCTGCAGCGTCTCTCGACTAACAGAAACGAATTGCGGAGACTCAAATGCGACTTTGGTGTATGCATCCGCCACAGTGAAGCATAACTTCACGATATCGTCAGCATGCCACTTTGTAGCCTGAGAAAAAAAGGTAATAATTATTTAGGTCCGTTATTTGTGTATGTTTGTATGTATCTGAATGCGCAGTGTCAGCGCTCAAGCTGGTCGGTAGCGCTTGTATGTACTTATAGTTCGCGTACTTATGTACATACTATTATTTTTACCGAGGACATCCAGGTAAAATCCCGTACCAGAGTGGCGAAGTGCGAACTAAGCCTAAATCATCTTACATACCGGACCGTGAGGTTCCTGTTACCTTTTCCAAATACGTCAGGCAGTTATCCGCTCGGATCTGCTTCAGCACGAACTGGTTGCACTGTTCCAGCAACAACGGGAAATCATATTTATCCGCACAGTACAGCACCGGCCAGACATTCTCCACCGTGATATCAGCCTTATCCGTATACACATAGCTGCAAAGAAGATACCCAGCCAAGTGTCAACGCACAAGATTTAACAGAGCTGTAGCAACGCACCTAAAATGTTGTCCCAATGAGTTCGTGTACGCGTACGGTAAAACAACACACCACCAAAAAATTATGCTTGCACAAGAACGAGCAGTGTACACGCTGCTTGTGCTGGGTATAACTTGATCGAGCCGCTACAGTAACTGGGATACACAATTTTGCAGTTGTGCTTACCAAAGCATAACCTCAAAAGCCTCAGGAAGGACATCGGGGATCTCGATGGTCTTCTTCCGCTCTGGCAAGCTGCCGTGAAACATCGCGTAAAATACGTCGCTGCTGAGGCTCAAGATGCACCTACAAAGTCAGAATGCATCGGCGAGCCACCGTAGCACTTACGACTCAGGAAATCAGGTTAATTTACTAATGGACCGCACAGAACGTACTTAAGTGCAGAAAATGTTCGTGTTTCGCCATATTCGCGTCCTACGACGAACTTGATGTCACTGAGTTCGCCGCTGCGCAGCGAACCCTGCAGTCGATTAACTATGCCTGTCACTGCGCCTCGTCGCGGTTGTGGATGGCTGGGGATCGGCAGAGGTTTTCGCGACATGATTGGATGGACAGGGATTCTGTTCAAGTAGGAATATTTCTAACTCGCAGTACAGTACTCTAGCAGCAAGTGTAACCACAAAAAATCAGCTACATACTTGAAGTAGGCTTAACAGTCAACAAATTTCTCGATCCCCAGAAGAGATTCAAGAGAACTGACGAAATGCTTAATACTAGCTGCAGTTCTCCGTTCTCGCACACCGTGAAAAGTGAAAACGCTGAGTCAGCTTTTCCGTCAAGTACAGGTAATCGGTAAACCGTGCGGTAGACAATTTTGCTATCGAGCAACGCAGCGCGTGGGAGGCCGCGAAAGTTGTTGCGCTAGTTCAAACATTACCAATTCCTTGACCTTAAGCTTCCGAATCATCCATTTCTTCAAATTTCAAATGAACATTATGCCAGTGCGAGTTTTGCTTTCACTTGCTTTTGCGAGGTTTTTGTTATCTTAACACTATCGAATATCCATGCGTACGAGCACGTACCTTCATGGAACGTAGTACTGGGGAATTTCGTTACTTCCGGCATTTTGTTTTCATAGCGCCGCGGGATCGTTACACTATGCACATGCTGTCGCGAGGTCATTAGCTGAAGGTTGATTTTGTATCGGTGACGATACTGATAGCGTCAGCGATGTGCTAATCCAGAATGCAATCGGCTAGAATTCAGTGTCTGCGAGTTGAGTCCAGGCCTCTCGTGATTCTTTTGAAAGGGGCCTTGTAACCATTTTAAAAGGTCATGCCTACAGTCCCCATGTTATGTACGTTGACCTTATACTGAGGACCGTATGGCCGTTTGGTGTAGCACTAGCATTTAAGAAATAGGCGACCTGCAGATTAGACGGCCAATAATCCTGATGTTTTACTTAGTGTTTCTTTTTCCTTTGCAGCGTTGGATCGCAACTTCTATGACTATCGAATTCTCCTAAAGACAGTTTAGGCATTCGCGCACAGCGAAGAAGTCAAACTATCTGTGGCATGAGCTACTGAAAACCGTCTGCGTTGTGCTCGCCGGGACCATTTCAACTTTGTTGGTCGAACTTAAGCAGAAATTGTTCTTGCTCCAGACTAGTTCTATTGTTGGAGCGGACGTGACAATAACGAATTCAGCGACAAAGAAGATTTGACCAGAACAAAGGCCTGGTTTTTCCAGCGGTCAGATCCAGCTGGTGCACTTTATTTCAATATGGCCGCATTCCAGCGTTCATGCGCCTGGGTTGTAAAATAAATGGACAAAGTGCAAGATAACGAAGCAGTAACAGAAAGCGGCAAAGATTTGTTTATCTCTAATGTGATATAAAAACATTGTAGAATGCCGTTAAACTTAGTAACAACTTTTTGTTCGGTTCAACTGAGTGTCAACTCTGGAATAGAAACTTGAAATTTTCCAAAGAATTCGCTATAAGTGTCTATTAGTGGTGAAGGCGAAAGTAGAAAAAATTAGTGGCCATACAATGGGTATGCTGCAATCTGAGTGTAGAACTGTAATACAAACAGATGTGCAAATGCACTGATACAAAGTTAGAGTTGTCCTGCACTGCGACTTCTTTTGATAGGCGCGCCTGCTGAGCCAGTCCATGATGTCACGTTATCATTGTTCCCCTAAGAGAAAAAACTAGTTTCCAGTATGGACTGCCGTCACTTTTGCGAATCAGCGCATACCTCTTTTAATGGCCGGGATGCCATGTATTACTGTTGACCTAAAAGGCTACAAGCCCTCTTTTCCTGGCAGCATTATTCCCATGCAACCTATACTTTCAAATCGACGGTACAAAATATTGGTGATTATCCATAAACAACTAATGCGTTTAGTCGAGCGCGTAACAGCAATAAGTTCCTTCCGTTCGAATTTTTTACTGCAAACATTGCTCTGAATACTGCAAGTATACTTACTCGTACAACAGATATGGTCACACTTCTGTTATAACTTCCGTGTTAGGTATATGTATTTTTAACTATTTTAGAGGTTTTCCTGGTCAGTTTCTTTGTGAGGTAATAATGTACAAGTGGGCCTGAAATGAAGTGGGCCGAGAATGCTAGAATGCAAGCATGCCGGGATACGAGGCTCCATACTGCGGGCCTGCTTGTATGCTGGGCTGCGGTATGCGGCGCTGTGGAAATGCCGAGCTGCGTATATGCTGGGCTGCATACTGCGGGCCTGCTTGTATGCTGGACTGCGGTGTGCGGCGCTGCGGGAATGCCGGGCTGCGTATATGCAGGGCTGCGGTCTGCGGCGTTGCAGAACTTGCGGTTGCGGGACTGCGGTTTGCGGTTCCGGCGCGTTGATGGCGAAAATGAACGGATACTTTTATCTGTCGCGGGAATTACGGTAGCTACAGAAGCCGAGAGATCAGCAATCTGTTTCTTTAATTGAGCGAGTTCGTCTGCCACCGATTTCTTTTTGGATACTCCGGCGTTAGTAGGCGCGCTACGGGTGTTAGCTCCCGGTCTGCTGGAACTGACACGGCTGGTTCCTCGAGGTCGTCCGCGTCCACGTGCACGATTCGAACTGCTACGTATCGGCTCCGGTCCCATGATTGGCGGTGACAGAGTACGAAATGCGCGAAAAAAGGTGGTCAAAAGTGAGCTGATTATCGAAAGAAGTCCGATTTGTAGTTTAATTTGTAGAACAATTCAGTTTAAGCAACAAAAATGACAAATGCAGCCGCAGCTGAAGGAAACTTTGAAAACCAATCGCTTGTATAATGAGACAATTCCACCAATTCCACCAATTCCCCCCCACACCATAGACATTAACAAGTATCCATGCAACACTGTCCCACTAGTGCACTGATGCCCTTTGTGATATTCGTACTCTTTTTTTTCAAGTTCATTCATATTTTATCACTTTCAAGAATACTACTGTTAGTTATATTTTTACATCGGTAATTCAGAAATCCTCGAAACTGCTAACTTCGGGAATGTCACCAGCTCAGTGTTTACAAAAGCTGCTCAAAATAAGTACTGTACTGCCCTCGTGGTAGCACGTTTTCAGATTAATCACAACAGTAAGCAGTCGTGTAACTACCATTTCCGGTAATGATAAAGTGCAATAAAAGCCACAATACACATTCTGTATGTCAGTAGATCATAATCAAGTTGATATGCCTCGCGCCTGCTAAGTTATTGCAACCAAGCTACCGGTTATTTCATTTCTTGCTACACTAGTTGATTGGATGGTATGAAAGCCAACGGAACCGCGATAGCATCCATTTTTTCAGTTTTGTTGGTGCGATCGAGATTGGCCTGACCACTGAGGTTGGGAAATAAATATTTGTATGAGTAGGTGTACCCAAATTAATCAGAAGAAATAATCTTTTCAGCAGCCCTCCATTAGACTGTAGACACGGTGCACTGGCGCGTCCCTAGATGCACTACATCTTTGACCTTTGTACGTCGGGCTGGGTGGAAGCGTGACAATTGACAGTGAATTACACACACATATATATACGAGTATATGCATAGCATGCATCAATTTGTCCGTCTTTCTTTATGACTGTGAATTTCTAAAATATTTATCACTGTTCCGTTGGATTTCCGTCATTCACCATGTTGCCCATAATTTCCCTGACCGTTCTCTTAATTTCTTACGCCTGCGCCAATCCCACAAGCGACGCTTGCATTGAGTAAGTAAAACTCAACGTACAAGCTTTTTTATTTTCGCAAACGTTTTTGCGATATTTATTGTTCGACTATAACAGCACTATAAGAGCGTGAAATGCAATATATCTGTATATGTATATTTGCCGACCAGTTTAAGCAGTCAGCACTACGTTCGATAAGTATCTTTAATTTTCTTAGTTATTACGAACGCTTGCTTCTTTAAGCTCTCAATGTCTCGCCCTGGATTAAGTCGGCAATATTAAGCAGTCCATAGGTCACACAGCACAGCACATTATCGGGAAAAGCTTTTAATATGTATCATATTAATCTCGCATTAATCAGTACGAACTCACTACTACGAAGTACGTGTTCGGTAAAAGGTACCCTTAACACTCGCACAATTTCACGTTCGATTTACATCGGCTTTTCCTGTGCGCCGGCCAGGCAGCGCCAATCACGATCTCGCAATACGCCCATTTCCGGCTGTCTTACAAGACATCAAGCCACTTGCGCCAAATTTTAAATTCAAATTCGAATTTCTGTTTTGAAATATCTCAGCCATTTGAATTTTCGTGCTGGACTTGGCTTATCAATTACGATTCTAACTTTTATTACTTTCCAAAAAAAATTTAAAATGCCTGAGTCGACCCGTTTTGATTTCAACGCATTCTGATCATTAAAACCTTCGGTAAACTACAATTCCAGTGATGCAACACGTTCAATGCAATGACTGAAGCGATTTAGCAGCCCCAGCAGTTTTCGAAGTGTGTTCAGGGTCCTTCTTTTGACAGCAGCTATGATGTCATGCTATCTGGAGTCGACTCCCAGATCTGCAAGAAAGGTTTCGAGGCCTGCTGATAAATGACGACAGTCCAGGTTAATGTGGTGAAAATTTAGGTAACAACAAGGTTTCGACACAGGGTTAATCCTCGAACCCAGCAGAAGCATAGATTAGAAAATAGAAAGGGGTCGATTTCAACGGTATGGCAGTCGACAATACGATGGCTTTTCAAAAAAGTGAGATAAAAATCTGGAGCCAACTAAGAGAGCACAATTGTAACGAAGGATACCACTGTGCTGTTAGGGCGAAATAACCGTGATAAACGCGAAAATAGTCAACCAGTTATTATCACACATGAGCCAGATCACAATAGTCACATTATGTAGTGGTTCCGAGGTCGACCTCGCGAGCAGTTGAAAATTTCCAAACGTGAAATGACGGAAATCTTAAAACTGCCAGAGGAAATGTATGCGAAACAGCGAAGCCTAATAAAAAAATTGAGCAACGTAGAAAACCGAAACGATGAAATGCTGTTGCAACAAGCGATTTAGCGCATTCAGTGACAAAACCTGTTCGGAGAGACGAATGCTGCTCGGAACAAGTGTTTTTTTACAGTCACCCCCTTGCGAGACTTTCCTTCTAGTTTTCGAAGAAAATTTATCGCAACGCTTTCATAAGAACCAATTTGTGTCGGATAACAAAAACTAACATCGTACGTCGACAGAATACGAAAACAAAATTCTGTTCTTCCGTAAATGCAAGAAACAGGAGTTCAGTGCGATTCTACACGGTTCCCCTTTTTGTCTTCAAACGTCACAACGCCAACGTTTTTAAGGAATTCTTTTACGCTGTTTTGTAGCCAATAAAATTCCCTTGGAATACATGGGTAGTTAAAGAAGGTAGGATAAAAATTGAAGTTTCTGTGAATTTTTTAAGCATTTATTGCGCCTGCGCGGCAGTAGAAATTGTGCGAGTGTTAAGGAAACGCCGTGTACACCGTACACGCTGAAAACATTATTTTTCTATGATTACAGACCAAATCCGCCCGTGCGATACTTCAGCTTCAATCTCCGTACGTATACACCACAGGGATACCCAACGCTATAGCTGATGTCAGTCATACAAGCAAAATGATCTTGTGATAATATCGAGCCGTACTGCAGCGATGGAGCAATATTACAAATTATTGCATTTATAAATCGTACTTTATAAATACGATTTCGTAAGCTTCTTGCCTTGAATAGTATGATTTACTCAAACTGAATTTCCGGTTTCTCTGATTTGCTTTTATATAGTACGTTGCTATAATTACCGTGCTACTATGTAACTCAGAATTATCCCAGTTGACCATACGGCTAAAAGTGTGTGGTTTCTGTGTGTCTGTGCTTGTAAATAATCATGTGTCTGTGTTTTTAAATTAATGTCTGTGTTTTTAAATTATTTCAGGTCAAGACCAACCATGCAGCGGTCGAGGCACATGCGTTAATGGAAAGTGCACATCATGCGAAACCTGGCAGGCAAGTTCGTAAACAGATCAAAGAAAACTGGGTCATTTTCATAATTCCGTTTTTAAATCTTTATTCGCTATGGGCTACGTATACGACATACCATAAGAGATTTGTTGTATAATGCTTACATCTCAGCCTACATATTTTTACTCGTAACTAGTACTGGTCTTCCTGGGTCTACAGGGAAATCGCGATGGGGAACACGTGAACGTCGTATATTCTGGCCAGTACTGCGAATGCGACAACATCAGCTGTCCCAGGTTTAACAGAGTTATGTGTAAGTGTTGCGTATTATAAACAAAATAACTATAGCGTCTTATCAACTATAATAATTAACATTTTGATTATTCTCTGTTTGCGTGCTTTTCTACATAACCATATATATAGTTTCTGGGACGCTCGCTTATGCAGAGTTTAAAATTCTAAGAGAGAAAATTCATAAAAATGTGATTGTAAGTTTATTCATGGCGATGACCTTTGTGGTATGTATATAACAATATACTAATACTCGTACATAACTATACTATATATGTTCAACAGTTTAACACAATGTTAGCATACCTCTGTATGCACCACTATCGAAATATTATAATTATTTATATGAACAGGTTGTAAAGTTTAATTTCGGTTAAAATACTCTGTAAATATTAAACTAATTGTTTGGTTAGTGCATTAATTTTCCTCATTTCGCCGGTGTTTAGGTGCCGGACACGGACGCTGCGAATGTGGTCGATGTGTTTGTGAAAGCGGGTACAGCTCTTACGACTGCTCCCTAAACGATGCAGTAGCGGAAGATGTCGTTAACATGCTGAGAAACTTTAACAAGGACAAAACAAGCAGTTAGCTGAGTGTTGCAAAATTGTTTGATTAAAGAGCGCACTTCTCATTCTTTGTGCTGACTCGCTGGTCACAAAACTGTTTAACTTGACTATTATTATTATTATTATTGTAGTATGACAACGTTTGCGCCTCTCGTATACGATGTTATGTTGTCTGGGTTATTAGATAGTCAAACGAATTAAAATGTAATTGTTCGAGTCATTGCGTCGTTGCCTTTCTGTGAGATAAAATTTCTCAGAAACTTAACGCAGTGATTTGTTTAATACAATACAAAATCGCTGGAATTAGGGCCATTTATCGATACAGGTACCGGGTGTACGAGTATTTTGTATCCTCGCGCAATGCGGTTGATTATACAAGTACACCGACCACCACTGGCAACACATTGATTTTGTAGCGTGCTGCTATCTTTCTAAAATTTAATATTAATGACTCACTTGACAATTAGATAATAAGGCCACAGTGATTTTTTAAAAAATGGGGTACTACAAATACTGTACATGTGTTGCCGGAAACGAATGTCAGTACGCCAGTGCACATCCCACGCCAGTGATGCGCAATGGCGGCGCGGCGCTCTTCGCTCCTCTCTAATTTCATGACTAAGTACAACTCAAACACGACACACGAGCTTGTCATACAAGTTGCGCCAAGGGTGCAGTTTTTCGCCTAAGCAATCATCCAGAATGCAGCATTCTTCTTTGGCTGCATAAGTGCAGCAACGTTTTACCAAGCGAATAACGGTTAGTGCGCATTGCGCAATAACTAAATTTGCTGTACTTAACACCAGTTTACTGAAGTTCGCACAGAAAGTAGCTCGTGTCAGCACATTTACATTATCTGCCAAACTCGTCAATAAGCCGGTGAGCCACCACTTTCAGCGCTTCCATCGTCTCTCGTCCGCTGGGAATAATTTGTTCGGCCGGCAGAATAAACTCGAACTCGCCGGTATCACGTAGTTCTATGGTGTAGACGTATTTGGTGGTTGTGCGACCTTTAGCAAAATCCCGCGATGTTCCTGAAGATGTGTCTATCCGAACAACGGATGATTAGGTACACTTCTTACCAAAACTTTTAAACCATATTACAGAGAATCTCGGCGGTGGTCCCTACACGGTAAACTGTTCCGTAAACGGCACGCAGGGCCTCCGTGGCATTCACGGCTAAAGCATACTACAAGCAGCAGCAAGGTTAGTTAATTTGTTGCGCTACTTAGAACGTTCGCAAGTGTTGACCTAGTAGTTACTGTAGTACCATGTCGGCAAAATCAGCCGGAAGCTCGTAGGTGTATCCGTAAGGCGTCATCCATAACTGCGAATGGGAGTGAAAAGTCAGGAAAGCCCGCAATTCCCGCCGAAGATCCAAAATCTTCTCGAAGATAAGCAGATTTTCCGGCTCGGAATAAGGTGACGCGCCGCCGTAAGTGAGGCTGCAGGGATCCACCGCTGGCAGCACTTCTACTCAATGCCGTAACAGATGACATCGTGGTCTATTTAATAATCACTGAACCAGTGCCGACGTTCTTACTTTGCCACATAAAGTCGTAATTTCGGTTGGGATCCACTCCCATGCATTCACTAAAGGGATCAATCCGCCTGGTTTTTCGCCACAAACGGTCCTATAAATACGAAACCGGTTAGAAATCTTGAAGCCCGCGAATACTCTGATCGCTTTACGGTTGTGTGGGTGTATTCGTATCCGTCGGGATTGATCATGGGCAGAAAATACCAGTTTAGATTTTCGTACATCCACCGGTTGCTGCTATTTGTCACCACCTACAGCGAAATTGACGCCATACTCGTCAGCGCTGTTTATAAGCAGTCAATATTTACTTCAGACCTGGTTAAGCATAAAGGTCACCGTTGCGCTGGAGATCCATTCGCGCGCGTGGATGCCTGTGGGCGGAGATTAGTTTTAGGCAAGACATTCCATAGTTACTCGGATGCTGTAGCCTTAGAAACGCTTTTGCTACCAAGCAAACCATACGCCGAAAACGCTTTTAATGCAAAAAAATGTCCAGGGAGAATCGATAACAAAATAAAGCATAAATTATTATTGTTAGTACCTCCATCCACCCAGATGGATGGTTTAGTGGGATCACTGAATGTTCCATTAGCGTCGAGATGACCGATCTTTAGCAGCCACACATTTCGTCCTTCGTACGTTTGGCCTAAGAGTACGCGGCGCACGATGTCAGGATGCGTTGTCTCCAAGTACAAATAGAAGCTCGTAATCTGCAGCGGAAGCAGGTATGCCATGCATACCGTCAGTTGGAACAGAGACGGAATTTAGACAATTTAAAATGCGAGTTTACGGTATCATACCGTTGTGTATCGATGGTAAGTGTCCCAGTTCATCAATGGGGCTTTATCCGTGTCCAGCCGGCTGCTTGGCGCTTCTTGATCCTTCATTACACTAGACATTGCCAAGTGCAATCAACTGACTTTACCTAATTTTCTTACGATAAAATTTGGTGTGACACGTTCACTTACCGGGAAAAATCTTCCCAGACCAGTTCTATATCGAGATTGTGCTGGCGACAGAAAGTTTGGAAGGCAGCTATTTCGTCGGGGGCTACAGTGACCTTATGCCTCTGGTTGAGGAAGAACGTCTCATCCCAGAACTGTATGCCTGCTTGGGGCGCACCCTGGTAAAGTGCCGCAGTTGATGCATCAGCAAGAAGAAAACTTGCAAAATTATTGTTTTGCCGGTAACCTGATGGGAGTGTCGGAGACCATGGAGGAATCGTTGCAGGGCGTCGACATGCTGCGGCGAAGTAGGAATTACTTGGAAAACTGCGTAGCTATAGGCATGCAGTGCGAGAAAAAGCACGAACAGTCAGCAACATGAACAACCGAATACATACGCGATAATTCCACACATGCTCACCTTGCATAGCTTCCAGCGTCCACGTTTGTTGCCAGTCGAAGCGAAAGCAGCGCGATGCTAAGGCAGACAACTCTTAGCGACATGGTGGCTACCGCAGTGTGTTGGGAGTCCGGGACCCGGTAGCTAGTTAATTAAAATTTAAAAGGAACTTACCTAGAAATGATATTTGATTATATTTCGTCTGGCATGCGTTTCGGCGTTGTAGATTGAACAGCATCTTATCAATAAGGTGTACGATAAGGTGTACGATAAAGACATGCTCTGTTATCTATGGTATAAATACAGTTAATTAAATGTACGTTATTGCTTCGTAACCAGATGCTTTCTTAATCCTATGCGTTGGTGGGACCGCGGGAGAACGGATTGTACAACTTAATTTTTGCACCAATCTGGGAAACCGTAAAATCAATCTTACACTTCGTTTCTGTCGCAGTTCTAGGAACAAACGGTACACACTTAAATAAATAAAGTAACTATGCGCGGATGGTGAAGCCGGGCGACTGTCCACGTAGATTCGATCCGCGCACAAAGTCAAAACTGTACAAAATCCTCTGTCCAGAATCAATAAATGAATCAGTGAATGATCATTCCAAAAAATTCTACACATGTTTTGACGTAACGCCGAACTGTACAACCAGCTAGTGTGCAACACCATTCAAATTCTCGAGCGTTTACGAAGTACGCCCTCTTCATTTTCGTCACTCTGATCGCTACTGTCATGGCCTTCGTCGTTTCTCCATCCGCTTCTAGTCCTCCATCTCCTCGTCTTCTTCGTCCATCTCTTCCTCCTCCTCGTCCTCCTCGTCCTCTTCCTCGTCCACATCTTCGTCTTCGTCGCCATCATCATCGTGATCGCTACTGTCACGGGTTTCGCTGGCCTCCCCCTCGTCGCAGTCATGAACTTTTTTCCATTCCTGCGCATCATCACACTTAACCAGAAGATTCCCAAAAGACACTATCTCCTTCGGGCCGCGCGCTTTCACCCAGTGGCCGGAAAGGCTCCGCTCGTGATAAACAGCGCTGGCGTACTGGGCGCCACTACAGTCCCACACAACGTTGCGACCTTTGGTCAGGAAATCAGCAGCCCGTATGAGCTTTCCCGGTTCCACTAACAGAATGTTTCCTACGTCGGAAAGCTTACACATGATCACAATGAGTTTCGAAGAATGGACACCGAGCACTTTCGCCGGTACCCAGAACGGGTAGCTATCCACGAATACCTCTTCTCGAGGCTGGAATTCCTTATGACGGAGCGACGTAACGACACGGAAAGGTTGAGGCTTGCGTGGCTCAGTGGAAAACGGCAAATTCACGGACTTCTGCGTGGCCAGTTTGTACGTGTAGAGATCTAGCTGTTCCCGTTCAGACAATAAGCCGCTCTGAGAACAATACGGCAAATTTATACTGCAGTAAACTTCCCGAAAACTATTTTCGCTTTTGCCACCGTCGCATAAAACGACTTCGTGCTCATACCATACAAAGCGGACTATATGCATACATAATTCCTGCAGTGTAAGTGAGATACAACTCATAAGTGGCGCGAAAGCCGTTCAGGTAAGACCAATAATTATTACACAAGAAATCTGATCATACACATTACAACATATTTACATACTACCTAAAACATTTAAAGAGTTCTACTGTTCAAAATTTTTCATCATTTTAAATAGATCCCGCCTGCGGAAGCTTATTACCATCTGAACGGGCTACTGCTGAATAAGCATTCCCCTTGAATAAGTTACATTCCCCCTAACGAATCTCTATGCTGTATTTTACACGCTAATATCACCTTGGCAGGGCCGTCAGCCAGTTGGGTAGGGATGAGCAGGGGAAATCGGATAAGGAACAACGCCTCTCCCGGTGCTGCACGCCGATTGGCTGCCGAAGCTTCCTGATTGGCCCGCTTGCAGGCTTCCACGCACCAGCTGCAGCGATAAGCAATAGCAATGGTGAGAAAAATGCACGAGCCACAATCACGCCTGCTATTTTAATGTTTAAATTAATCATTTTACGTAGTATTACGCGAATGCACTTTTTGTTATGTTGTTAACTGCATCATTGCATCCGCTTTGATCATGCCTGGTAGGACCGAAACCTAAACCCGGCTATTCAGTGATTTCGTCAAACCCGTTTACCATAATCGTTACCGGTAAACAAAAAATTTAAGTACTCTGACATCCTTAATCACTGACTGCACTCTGGTCAGTTAGACAAGTGCCATCGTATACTTCAGTTAACTTCACAGCAGAAACACTAATTATGATGGAAGCTACACACCTTTCCACGGCTTTGTACACCGTGTGCTCGTCTACGCGCAGCGTGCCACTCTCCAACAGTTTCTGCAACGTGTCGCGGCTGATAGAAGCAAATTCTTTTGACGTGAACACGACGTCGGAGCAAGCCTCGGCGACATGGAAGCACAACTGCACTATATCATCAGGATGCCACTTTGCACCCTGCAGAGAAAACAACGCTCAAAGTTGTTGGCGCGGTTGTGGCGTACTTACAGCTGCTCAAATGTGCAGCGAACAGACAGAAACCGTGGCCACGATCTCTGATTTTGTAATAATACATAGATAGCGTAAACACAGCAAAATTGTGCTTTCAATTCTTTCTCAAGTCCTGTCAATCTAAAGCGCATTGAAAATTTTACGGCCATTGGGAAAACTATGTACGCACCCCTTCCAAAAGTGTCAGGCAGTTTTCCGCTCGGATATGCTTCAAAAGAAACTGATTGCACTGTTCCAGCAGTAACGGAAGATCATATTTATCCGCACAGTACAACACGGGCCACACATTCTCCACCGTGAGATCAGCCTTGTCAGTGTACAGGTAACTGCAACGGACAGTGCTGAGCCAAGAAACAGCGCACGAAATTCAGGGAAAACTTTGGAATACATAGCATCTGGCACGTTTGCTTACGTCAGCAGGATCTCGAAGGCTTCAGGGAGTACTTCGGGGATATCGATGGTCTCTCTCCGCTCTGGCATACTGCCGTGGAACATTGTGTAGAACACGTCGCTGCTCAGGCTCAAGATGCACCTGCAAAGTCAGAATTCGTCGGGGAACCACTGAAGCACTGACAGCTGGAGATTGATCAATATTAGGCTCAATAGGCTGCAGTGCGCGTACTTGAGTGCAGGGAACGTGCGGGTTTCACCATGATCGCGTCCGACTACGAACTTGATATCACTCAGTTCGCCAGTGTTCAGAGAGCCTTGCAGGCGATTGGCTATCCCTGCCACTGCGCCTCGCCGCGGCTGTGCATCGTCTGCCAGTGCGATCGGCGCAGATTTTCCCGACATGGTTAAACACGGAGCGAATTCCAGCCAAATACAGAATATTCTTTAACTTGTAAGGCACTAGCAGGTAGTTATTTGTCAGGAATCAGTTACTTGAAGTCTTGAACCGAAGAGTTAACAGTCTACCATAACACCTAGAACAAAACACGAAATTTGATTTGATAAATTACTTACTACTTTTAATTCGGCAATGGCCAGTTCACATAAAAATAAGCTTGCGCTGGTAGAAACTAATTAAAATGATTGAAAATTTAAACAGTAAAAATAGACTGCTGACCCTCCTTGGGGGCAAACATCCACTCACGCACCCCAATGTTAGGGGGCCAGTTTTCAGGGGCAAACATCTTATCCGATTCGTGAGCAAATGAACCAACACGCGCAAAGAGATTCTTGCGGCCCTTTTTAGCAGAATAGATAGACACAAATCTAACAAAGATCCCGTTTGATTCAATGACGCGTTTGAGATCTTTGCTGTAATCATCTAGTGACGAATGGTTGGTCTGCTCCAGAGGGGGGATGCCATGCAGACAGAAGTCCTTTTTCTCTTTCTTTTTCCCTTTCTCTTTTCTCTTTGTCTGTCTTGAGGGAACGTTTCGTCTGCAGTGCTGACATTACGATGTCTTCGCTGGAGGCCGAACCGACACTGCGCGCACCGCGAACCAGTTTCTTCTTCGCTACTGTCGACCATGAGTTCCGCGTGTTTGACGAATTCGGAGAAGGACTATCAAAACACGGAGGGACCACAGGAATCTCTGGGGTTGACAACTGGGTTTGTTGACTTCCAAGTGGGGGGAAACTTTCGTCAAAGCTTTCGAAAACAGGATCCTTGACAGGCGTCATCGTGGTCGATCGAAACCCATTGGGCTGAAGCGCTAATCGACCAACTTCGACGGTGTCCGAGGAGGATGCTGCTTGGATATCTTTGATGGCTTTGACTTCGTTACTGAGGTTTCGCACAATGGAAGCAAGCTCATCATACTTCTTCCGACTTTCCGCTAGCTGGGCTTCCACTGAGCTGAGCTGAGATTTGAGTCGCTGATTTTCCAGAGTCGCTTCTGCAACCAAGCTCGGGGCATGTTCCTGGATAAGCTGAGTTATCATCGGGGGAACGTAGTCTTGGATGAGATCTTTTGCTGGGTTCAAGGCCGCATTCGGATTTTCCCAAACATTAATCAGATCATTAAATATGGCTGGCATAAGCTTTCGTAGCAAAGGTATCAGCTTGGCGAAGGACCACTGGTTTGCTGGTGTGCCATCAGGGAAAACGTCGAAGAACGACTCAATATCAAATGGCTGTGGCTGGTAGTCCTGCGTTTTCCCAGTGGCTGCATCAGCCATGGTAGTCACAATAAAAAATAACGTGTAGGATCAAATAGGCTTTGTAAAGATGAAAGATCGAGGAAAGTAAAGATGAGATAATGCTTGGAAAAAACCACTTGCTTGGAATGTTACTTACCAATTACTTACTTAATAGCCTAATCGATCAGCTCTGCGGTATGCGAAGATTTTCGCAAAACCGCCACCCGGCACGCGGCTTGCTCCCCACTACCGCGTACAGGCTGCAGAGCACGTATGCAGCGCAGCAGCGTTCACCAAAATACGAGTACTTACACCAAAGTCCAAAATATACGTATTAAACTTTCAAAGCATTTTGTGTCTAGTTGGCGCGAAACCTGCAAACTGAAACAATAAGTTTTCTATATTTCCATTTTGTTCCACAATACCATAATCGTAGCTGCAATTAACCAGTGCCGCCAAAGCATTATTACTGGGGAGTGCGCGAGAATTCGCAAAATGTGCAGCATTCGCAAAATTCTGAAACGCGAAAATTACAATACACCGCAATTTTTGCGTGGGCATCCGCAGCTGCAAACGCCAGAACATCGGATTGACAACTAAAAACAAAAATCATGACTCATAGACTGCAACTTTCAAACAAAACAAATTCAATATTTATGGCCCTTCGATGGGCAGACAGGTGCAGTCCTGCACGTGACCACTGCTATCCGCAATGGCCACTGCAGCGTTTAGCTCCACATTCTTCCACGCACCGCTTTCGGCAACGTGCTCCTCCATACTGCGCACCGCCTTGGTATCGCTGTCGTTCCCGCCGACGACAAACCCGCCCCGCCCGCAGTCAGATGCCGTGCGCTGCGCGAGCCTTTTTCAACCCGGCACCTACAAGCTCCCATGTTTTCGTCTGCGGATTAAATCGCTCACAGGAGCGCAGCGAAGAATCGCACCAACCGCCTGTAACGCAGAGGTCGTTCTCGTACGCGATGGCCGCGCAATTCCGTCGCGGCCTCACCAGACTGGGACACTCCCCCAGTACCCGATGGCCGTGTTGAAGGCTTCCGCACAGCTAGAGGCGGCAGATGAATTCCACCCGCCGATATAGTAGATGACCTCACCCACCACCGCCGTGGCGAAATACTTCCGGGGCGTTCGCAGTGGTGGGAGGGTGTGACTTCTTGGTGCAGATGTCCGCTCGCATGTAGGTGTTTGTGTTGAAGCCATACAGGTTGTCGCCCTCCACCACCGGTTTATATTCGCCGGTAAAACTGATGGCGTCTGCCCATGGGAGGCCGCGCCATGTCTCACGGACAATGTCCACTGCCACAGTATGGTCTCTGCCACCGCCTTTCTTTCGGAATCGCCTTGAAAAGTATTTCCGTTTCGGCCACGTACAACGGTGCAGCACTTCAGTACTTTATTGTCCTCCAGCTCGGTAGGTAGTTGCAGTTGGCGCAGCGTGACCCAGTTCGGATCGTAAAGCTGCAGATGCAGTTTGCGGCTAATGCAAACAAAGAGGACGTTCAAGAAGAGAACGAATCAGCGGGAGTTGCGTTTCTTTTTGACTGGCACATTGGTATCGGCAGTCTGAGTGGACACTCGCAGACTCGCTGGATGCAGCTACGCAGTGGTTCATCAACGGCAGGAAACAAGATACGAGAACGTCGGCCAGTTGCTTGCAGTCTAGCTCGGCCAGGACGCTACCCGTTGTTGTCATCTCGAAGCGCTGTCGAAGCGGCACCAGGAAATGACCACCTACAAGCGCTTTGCAGATTTATTTTTACAACCGCCTCCATCACTTCATTTAATCAAAATGTAAAAAAATATTTCGATATTTCTCAACAACTTATTACGAATAAAGACTGAATGTGGAGAAAGAGCATGTTTTAATTAAATATGAAAACCGCTTGCGCTACCTACGACGTACATTGAGCAGCTCCCTCTTGGAGGCAACTTGCACATCTTCATGTGCCAGGACATCCGTCAGTTCTTCCGCGGTGTACTCCAAGAAACCATCAGCAACAATGCTGACAAGTGCTTGACCACCAGTCGCAGGGCGGTTTCCCGTAGCTCGACGTAGTTAAGTCACCTATGTGCACTGCCCAGTCGTCACGCGCGGTAGGCAGATTATCCAACAGCATCGCCAGACTCTGGTGTCGGTATCGGTTGTCGTTTGTTGCTCAAGTAAACAGATGACCCGTTTAAGGCTTGTATCTAGCGTGGGAATTTAAACCTGGCTAGAAATGGAAATATAACAAACCGATGAAGAAAGATTATACACACGCCATAAAAGGAATGTGCAGAAGTTAAATTACATATCCAGCAGTGGTAACGTGCTTCAATGTACTGCGGAAAACAGGAAAGTCATCTGCTATTAACAATGTCATTTTCGGCTCGATTCGGTTGGTCCAAGATATTGTGTAGCCTCCAAGCCAACCTGGAATCTCCCGCCCTTGTGGCCGCTTCCTCAACTTTTGCAATTATTTACGTTCCCATGATAGCAATTTTACCGTGACCTCTTTGTGATGACTGGGAGCCGTTTCCACCTATGGTCGGCATAACTACCCAAAACGGAGTAAATTCCGAGTACATGTTTGATGCTCTCTCCTGACGTGTCGGAGTGAGGGGCTGGATTCGGAGAGACGCAGGATTCCGGCTATTGCGACACGCCCGCTCTTTAGTGGTCTCACTGTTACAGTTATCTGTTATGTGTGTATGCGAGCTGATACAAATTGGGAAATGTTCAACGCTAACATGTGTCAATTACTACGTAAACCTTTTTCTGTTTTGTACCTCATTGTGATGGCTTGGGGCCGGTTCCGGAAATGTTGGGCATAATTGCCCAAAGGAAGTGAATTGCGAGCCCACCTTTGGAGTTCTCGCGTCGAGGGAGGGAGTAATTAGTTGATTTCCGCATGACGTCCCTAAATTATGACATGAGTATAATGGAGTGGCTTTATTGACACTTCGCTGCATCGCACTGCCTTTACAAGCAGCATCTACACAACCTGTATAAAAACTCTCAATCAAGATAATAGCTATTATCACAAACGTAACACCTATTAGTTATGTAATAAATAGGCGTTCGCCAAGCGTTTCCATATGTCTGGATCCTTTACATAAAGTGTCATAAACTGCCCTAATCGACCCCGCTCTGAATAATCTTCCTTTGTTGTAAATGCTTTCTGTGGCACACCAAGAAGGTTGCCAATATAATTACTAGGTTTAAGGTTTGATTTTCGATGAGTTAAACCCGATTGTTATGCACTATTTTTGGTTTATGGCAATCTCGGTGATTAAGTCTAACAATTTTACGCTTAAAAATTGCGGTGTTAATCCATAACGTGTTGTGGTTCCATTTTTAACGCCCGCCCGGTTTACTCCACTCTTGTTCAGCATAGAAACCGCGTCGTTGGCTAGGCATTTTCAAACATTCCTTGATTGATTGCCGGGATCACTATTAACAAGCGCCGGAATCGTACTTGCCGTACGTCAAATCCAAGGCGAAATTTCCCCTTGTGTTAAGATTAAAATTCATGTGAAGCGTTGCTTCCACGAACCGGCTTTCATGTTCACTACGAGTCCTATTACGGCGCGTAACGTGAAGATGATTTCGTTCACTCCGGTCTCCATCCTTGTTGCTATGGTGTGTGTTGATCCAGTTCTTAATCAGTTGGAGCAGCAGCCAGGTCATCGTACTGTAAATGTGAGCTTGCTAGTAGCCGGCATCACGAACGGAGGTTACGGATCTCTTCCATATACCGCACCAGCATTGTCGATCGCTGTTGAGCATGTGCACAAGATATACAATGGAGCCATACGATTCAATACTGAATATGTTCAGGATCGGAACTGTGGGGACCTTACCGGCAATGTCGCTGCAATGTCGGCCGGTATTTACTATCGTCAGCCTAATGAGCGCGACGTCCTCGTGTCCATTCTACCAGGTAAAATTTTGCAAAAAGGCAGAAAAGCAAGTTATCACAAGTTGTTCGCAAACATGCGAGAATTGCCCAGTTCCAAATGTCGAATACTAGCAGTATAAGGTGATTTTCCGAAATTCTAGGGTGTGAAATCGGTGGAGCTGTAGAATTAGCACGACTCTGTACACAATGGGACGCTTTATGGATTTCGATGTACGTAGGTAGATGCAGCAAGCTGCTCATTAGCAGTTTAACTGCTTCGTAAAAAAGCCCTGCTCTTAATCTTTCAGGGTAGGCTCCAGCCCGATCACCCGCTCACAACGGTGGCAGTACCCAACGGGAATATTCACCGCCTATTACCGTATGCCCGACGCTGCGGAACTATTTACTCAGTTACTGAACAAGTTCAACTGGACATCGGTGAATATCATCATCGACAATAGCTCGCCGGCCTTCTATGCTGAACTGGGAGCGTTGGTCGTGACGCATCTAAAGGATGAAAGACACATCAGGTACACTGTCTGGACCATTTACGCGCAGTCAGGTTTACCGTTTGCCGACTTTCCATCGATTCTGGAGAAGATCCGTGCAACAAGTAGAGGTGAGAAAGAGCTTTCGTGGATAGATAGAGCTGTCCGGATCAGGTTGGCTGAGAGTGTTTCATTTCTAGTTGTGCTGTATTTTGGTTTGGGGCCGACGTTACGAGAATTTCTGGTAAGGGATATCTGTGGGAACTGAAGTATTTACGACTGCTACGGTGTGACATTTGATGGAACGTTTCTGCAGTTCACAGCCTCCTCTATGGAAATGACGAATGGCGAATATGTAAACGAACTTGACTGCTTTCAATTGGTTTACGCCTTTACGGTACGTCGTGTTAACCGATCGATGGAAACGAGATTTCAATTGTAGGTTTATGTCTTGGTTGAGAACAATCTGTTTCGCCCAATAAATTGGCAAGCGGGCGATAGAAACGACTCGGTAAGTTCTTGTTGTTTTATGTGCAATACCGCTTACATTAATTTTAGCTGTTTTTGCGTTTTATCATTTTACCACGCCAGAGGTACCAGAAACCAATGTGTTTTGCTTGCTTGCTAACTGTGGTGAAGGGAAATTACTCACTCACAGTCACATAGGCACACTGTTTCTCCAGATTATACTGCAAGCGTTTCGATCCGTACTGATGATCAATCCAAGCGAAAACAAGAATAGCAGCTTTGCAAAAATGCAGCTTGGAGAAGAAATTCTTCGGCGAACCGAAAGAGATTTTAATTTTACCTATCCTCTACATAGCCAGGTAGGTAGACCATTCCCCTGCTGAAAGTTATCCTTCTCAAAATGTAGTTCCGCTGATATTCTTGTATGCTTTCTGCAGCCGTATATTCTTATCGTCAGCGGTTATACCACAATCTTTGCACTTGCTAAGGTAAGCTCAACAGTAAAGGTCCAAATACGTTTTCAAAACTGGGACGCCGGTAGACGTTTTCAAAACGTTTTCAAAACTGGGACGACGTTTTCAAAACTGGGACGCTCCCGTTTTCTGCTCTAACTTCTGAATACTACAAAATACAAACTTTTTTTTGAAATTTCTCGTTCTCATTAAGCCAGTAATTTCGATCATGACAGTCGTTCATAAATTATAAGGATTGTCAACGGACACAAATAAGTAATTCAACAAAACAAAAAATTTGAACGTATTTACGAAATATTGCTAACCTGAAAATTATTCTGTCATTTCTCCTGAAGGTCAACGAATAGGTTATGAAACAAAAATACGTTAATGAATGCTCGTTATACCTATTGTATCGGGATACCGACTGCAGCACATTGTTAAGGAGGTCTGTCCCGGTTTTGACACTCCTCTGATTCGGAGTACTTTTAAAATCCTTTTAAATCCTGTTACCGGTATCATGTTGGGTGCCAAAGATATTGGATAGAATGCGTGATCACGCAAAAACTTCATAAAGATATTTTACTGACGAGTGACCGGTGGGAACTTTTTTGTATAAGGAGGTCGGACAAGGCGTGAACCGTATTATCCCGTGACGTCATGCGGACAAAATGCTGAAGACTTTCGATGGTAATTATCGTAACAGACTGGCAGAAGGGAGTCACGGGAAAGATATCATAATTCCACAGGGTTTAGAAAATTGTCCGGAAAATCCCAGCCGGGAGCATTCGTAAGCGTGCTTGTTTTGCATACGTAGCCGAACCAAGCAAAGTAGAGATACGCCGTCAAAGCAAACAAAGCAGATGTCGTAAAGAAATCGAGCTAGGGGAGGAAACTAGTATTTCCGAAGAGGACTTAAGATCAGATGCGGAAGATCAAGCCATAGGCGGGAATAACGTAGCGTTTTTGTTAGACCGAGCCCCATATATGATTTGATCTGTGGCCAGTTTAAGAAAGTTTAGAAAAAGGGTGAATGAAACTTACCACTATACGCCACCAACAGAAGAATATGTGAGTTTCTGTCAAAATGTTTTCCAAGTATCAACTTTTAGGTTATTAATGATACAATAGTGATGGGAAACCAAGCAGACTGGAGTGGTGCGGCTCTAATGCAACGCCTGGTCAACGGAACCTTTGTCGATAACGTTGGCAACACAATGTACATCGACAGTGAAGGACAGCGGCGTACTGACTTCACAGTTTCTTTTTTCAATGCAAATGGAAGTCGTGAGGTAAGTTTTAGCTAGTGACTGTCTGTTGTATAACAGGGCACGCACGCCTTTATTTTCTTTTCAACAGCCCTTGCTGCGAAAGTTTGGACGGACCGGGGATATACAAGAACTGCAGCAACTGTTAGTGTGGGGCGTTTCCAATGTTTCTTTTCCTCCACCTGGCGAACCGCTATGTGGATATCTTAAGGAACGCCCGCCATGTATGCGCGGTAAGAAAAATGTCGCCAACATAAAAAAGCTTATCTGCCTGACACATACAAACCAGCAATTTTTCGAATCCTTCTGTTTTTCGGTAGGAATTTACCATTTCGTGTACGTTACAGGTGCTAATCAATTTACATACGTTTTATCGATCAGTTTAATTTTGTCGTGCGTGGCCGTCACTATCCTGGGATGTACTGCGTAAGTAACTTCTTCAACGGCTAGACCAATCAGAAATACGAACGGAATCACTGCTGACTTTATAGAACTGTCAGCTAAGAGTCATTTATTACTACATTCAAGATTCAGTTTCATAAACTGTAAAAAGAAAAAAAACGATTACGACAATAACTGTAAGGTGCGTACTGGAATTGCGCACCCCATAGAAATTTTAGCAGACGAAAAAAATAATACTTTTTTTATATGGTTTCCTGCTGTTCATAAGTTTACGCTTTGCAGGTGCATTAAACGCAAAGCAAAAAATCAGTTACTCCGTGAATCCTGGTGGCACGTGTATCTGCAGGCCCCAGATCACCGAGCTTTTTCCCGTCACTCACTTACACTAGGAAGAAAACCCAGTTTCCCATTGGAGTCAATTGCGCTACGTGGTGCAACGTTTTTATCATCTACAAAAGCAAGTTGTTTCTTACGTTTACTTAGCAGTTAGCACAATTTAATCTATTGACCTTTGGTATCTGCAGAACTTTTGCAGTGCCGTCGTTTTTGGTTCTTTTAAAGACCAGTCTGTGATGGGCTGGAAAGTGGTCAGCAGAAACAATCCAACAAGCTTTGCTGACATAGTTGCTACAAAAGAACTCCTTCTTTTATTACGCAAGGTACTGTGACCACTGACCAGTAACGAAGTACTTGTGCCTTTACAGGCCTTTCTAGATTTTCCGTTTTGTAGCTCGAAAGAATGGAAAGCGTCAACGTTTGCCAGTTCTTTGGACTGGCCATAACAGCATCCCCAAGCGGCGTTTACTTTATCTCCGCCGTGATGGAAAGTCCGTTACGGGGGGCTCTACCGGACGTATTTGACAGCTCTGTTAGCAGAGATCCGACAATGCAAAGCTCCTTAGTGATTGACTATATTGAAGTGCGAAGGCGTAGCTAACTATGTGCAGGCGATACTGAAAGCAGGTTTCCTATTTGCAGGCAGTTCGGTATATTCATTCTTCCTCAGTACAATACCATGGGAGAATCAGTGTCCTAACCTGTTGGGTGGATAAGCATTTCACCCTCAAACTGGCGCATTTGGGTTCGGAGAGAATTCGGCATAACCTGTGCCAAGCCAACCGAGATTTGACCACGAATTTATGTCACAATGTCATCGGGGAATCTGTATACTGGTCACCACCCGGAATGACGGCTAGCACTGACAACAAGACACAGCAAATGGTAGATATCTTCTCATCGGGTCTGGTCCTTTACGACATTTTGACGGCTGGGAGTATCTTCGCGAAAATTACCTCAGCTGTCGAAGGTAAGAAGAACCGCTATTTGCGACTGCAGCCGGCAAAACCGTCCGTGGGTTCGGAAAAACGTTCAGCAAGAACTTCGCCTGCCTGCTTTTGAATTTTTCATTGTGATCAAATGCCACGTTTCCGGGTTTACACCCGGACGAATTTTCCAAGAGTGCAAGTTTGTATCGCGACGCTTTTTCCGATTACAAGATATTATCGAGGTTTAGTTACATCCCAAATTTAATGGACATATCTTACAAGCAAGCTCCATAAGTGCAGTTCAATAATGAGCGGAAGTTCAATAATTCAAGGACCAAAATCTCGTTCTCACACATCACAAAATGCGCTTATATAAAGGGGCATGTGGTCCCCGAGAAGAGAATTTGGGCTTAAGAGCTGCAAATACTCCCCTTCTGTATACAGTAAATAGTTGGGTTCTCATTTTTTAATCAGTTTTAAGAGGTCAAAGAATATTACAAACGATTCAGAAAACGCTATACGCCGATGCATTCCGAGTTGTTGTTAACTCGAAGATCGCCAGTACAGACTGTAGGCGCACATATATTACTGTATCAGTACTTCTGTAGCCACACTTCTGATGCCGAATAATTAATTGCCATGCGCTAAAGCGCTCTTGCTGCACGACTGTTTGTAGTTTCTGAACTGCAGTTCATGCTTGAATTTGCAGAAATTCCAAGTCTCCTGAGAATTCACGACCTTTGCTTGAGTGCGCCGGCCATTCCAGAAATACTTCGATTATGTCTTTGTGCAGATCCGCTTCAGCGACCAGATGCCGAGAGACTTCGTCGTGAATTAGTCCAGAGAAATCCGTCGTTGGCACCCGATAGAAGCCAAACTACGCTGTTCGACAAAATTTACAACAGACTGGAGCGTTATGCGGTGGAGTTGGAAAAAGAAGTCGCGACTAGAACCAGCGAACTAAAGGAAGAAATGGACAAATGCGATGCCCTCATCTCACGGTTTCTTCCTAAGTAATGCGTTTGTACTACGATTTCCCACTTTATTATTGGTGCTTATTGATCTTCATGCAGATCTGTGTCAAAGCAGTTGCGCGCCGGCAGAAAAGTTGCAGCCGAAATTTTTGATTCGGTGACAGTTCTGTTCACTGATTTATACGGATTCACTGACTTTATCAAAAGCGGTTCGCCTGGTATCACAATTTCCTTGATCTCGACCACGGAAGCTTTTATCGATAGACTATCAACGGAGTGTCAGGTTTATAAAGTGGAGGCAGTTATGGATTCGTTTATGGTATGTATTTACCGATCAGGTTAAATAATTTATAACTGCTCACAGATATCAGCATATTCCTGTGCAGGTAGCGAGTGGGCTGCCAGAGCGCATCGGAAAAAGACACATCGAAAAGATGGCGGGATTCGCCATTAAGCTGATGAAGGCTAGACCGCAGTTAACCTTTCTTCTAGATTTGCAGTTTAAGATTGGCATGCATTCCGGTAAATACGGTAATTTCGTGTCTGGGTCGTCAGGACATGCTCTGCGTCGATGACAGCTGTTTTTTAGGTCCATGTGCCGCCGGACTTATGGGGTTGAAACGACCACGCTATTGCCTGTACGTCAGATGTATTAAAGGATTTCTTTTTCTTTATTACTGTCCTTGCAGCGTTTTAATAAGTATTTGATTGTAAGCAATAATGCTGCACACTCGAAGGCAAGCTTCCGAGATGTACAAAATGTTGTACATTAAGCCAAAGTTCTCAGCATCCTTGATGTGACAGATTCGGAGACACGGTCAATATGGCTTCCAGAATGTGCAGTCACGGCTTGCCTGGACTCATTCACTTAAGCCCACACAGCCAACTACTTTTGCAGGACTTCCGCCAGTTCGCTGTGGAGACAAGAGGACTGCAAGCTATAAAGGGAAAAGATTATATGACAACATACTGGCTTCTTCTACCATCATGCCACTAAGCATCATATTTATGGCATCGCGGTGTTCGTAGCTGCTACTGGTCAGAAACGCGCCAACTAATTTTTCCGGCGGCGGCTGCCGGTTCAGATACATCGTGTGAATGCTTCGACCATATGCCGATATGCATAATAGTTGCGATTGTGCGTAATAGGTACTTTGTTTTGATTAGTATTTGTGAGCGCTGCGAATTAGCCGCCGTGATGATCGTTTTTTTACGAAATTTCGTTTTACGTTAGCTCAAAATGTTATGTTATACGCCGTCTTAGTTAATGATGACTTCATACAATGATGCACTGTACACCTTAAATTTTCGGGGCATGTCTTTTGAAAAAAGTTTGGAAAGCGGTGATCCCTACACGGTACACTGTTCCGTAGACGGCACGTAATGCCACGGTGGCGTTGACGCCTCCGTAACTGGGAGTGGGAATGAAAGGTCAGGAAGGCCCGCAATTCCCGCCGAAAATCCAGAATCTTTTCGAAGATAAGCATACATTCCGGCTCGGAATAGGGCGACGCGCCGCCGTAGGTGAGGCTGCAGGGATCTACCGCCGGCAGCACTTCTGCTCAAAGCCAAAACAAATGGCACAATGGTCGACTCAGCACTTACTAAATCACCGCTACTCTAATAATACTCTTACTCTGCCACATAAAGTCGTAATTTCGGTTGGGATCCACACCCATGCATTCGCTAAATGGATCAATCCTCCTGGTTTTCCGCCACAAACGGTCCTTCATGCGCAAAACGATGAAAAACTCATCGAAGCCGAATGCCATAAGAGCTATTACGGTTTTATGGGTGTAGAGTCTGTCAACTGTAGTCGTATCCACCGGGTTGATCATAGGCACAAAATACCAGTTCAGATTCTCGTACATCCATTTGTTACTGCTGCCTGTCACCATCTACGGCCATTTTGCGGCCAGCTTGTCAGAGCTGTCATAAGTAATCAATATTTACTTCAAACCTGGTTAAGCACAAAGGTCACCGTGGCGCTCGAGATCCACTCGCGTGCATGGATGTCTGATGGAAGGATATTTCATAGTTACTTCAATGTTGCAGCCTTATAGAAACACTTTCGCTACTGAGTGGTTTTATGTAAATCATGGTTTTTGATACAAAAAATGTCTAAGTATTCTGTAGAATCGATAATACAAGAAATCATAGCGGATGTTAGCACCTCCGTCCACCCAGATGGATGGTTTAGTGGGATCACTGAATGCTCCGTTGGCGTCGAGACGACCGACCTTCAGCAGCCGCATATTGCGTCCTTTGTACGTTTGGCCTAAGAGTACGCGGCGCACGATGTCTGGATGCGTTGTCTCCAAGTACAAATAGAAGCTCGTAATCTGAAACAGTCACTTCACAAGTTATTAGTTAGGATAATGTTTACTGGCGGTCCTAACTGCAAATCTGTATCGTACTGTTGTGCATCGATGGTAAGTGTCTCAGTTCATGAATGGAGCTTTGTCAGTGTCCAGCCGGTTGGTCGGCCCATTGTGTTCTTTCAGTACACTAAACACTGCAGAAAGGCTTCCTTTGCCTAAATTCCTTACGTCCAAATTTGTTAGAACACGTCCGCTTACCGGGAGAAGTCTTCCCATATCGGTTCAGTGTCGAGGTTCTGCCGTTGCGGCAGAATGTTTGGAAGTCAGCTATTTCGTCCAGAGCTACGGTGACCTTATGCCTTTTATTCAGAAGGAATGTTACATCCCAGAACTGGATGCCTGCTTGTGGCGCACCCTGATAAAGTACCGCAGCGCATGCATTAGCTAAAACCAAACTTATCGGACTGTCGTTTTGTAGGCAACCTGGATAAAGTGTTGGAAATCATGGAGGAGCTGTTGCAGAGCGTCAATGTGCTGCATCGAGGTAGGAATTACGTGGAAAATTGAGCAGCTGAAAACAAATCGGTTAGGAATGTGAAAAACCGAACAAACAGCGCGACAGTTCAGCAGGTACTCAATTTTCATAGTTCACAGCTTCCACGTTCATTTGCAGTTGGAGCAAAAACAGCGTAATGCTAAGGCAGACTACTCTTCGCCACATGGTGGCACAGCAGTGTGTCTGGTGCTTTGGGATCAGCAAGTAGGCAAGCAGCGGACATGATTATTGCTTGGGAAAATTGCTGGATATCAGGGTTTCGTAGATATCAAGTGCATAGTGGCATTTTGGGATAATGGGATTCAGTTGTTACGAGTACTAAGAAGTAAGTACACCGCGTCGGCTACTCTTTAATTCCAGTAAGTATGCAGTGACATCCCTTGCTTATATAACAGTTCAACCTTAAAACGTTCTTACCAAGTCGTCAGGCAGTTTCCACTGTTTTGCATCCACACGAAAACTGTAAATGATAGTTGTTCATCTACAATTATATGGTAGCAGAACTTTTCACGTATAATAACTATAAGGCATGCAGCGACGTGGTATGAGCGGACTGTAAGTTGGGCAATCGGCAATTGCATCTCAATCTAACATCTCACTACCAGATCCGGAAGGCTCAAAAGCATCAAAAGTTTTACTTGATGTGCTATCATTGCATCTGATTATGAAATGTTCCCGTTTCTGCTTTTTCCTCTCCGCTTTCCTAGCGCATTCTTTTACAGTGAATGATATACGTAGCAAAATAGGAAAATAACAGTGATCAATAATCTTTATTACCAACGTGTACAAGCGAAACGCCATTTACACTTGAACTTGAAAATCCGCTAATTAAAACAAAAAGAAGAGTTCTTCTAGCTCTCTGGAGCAAAAACAAAGGTACATTTTTATGATGTCGTACTCAACAAACAATAAACGCTAATACTATGAGTTAGTTAGTAGTGTAGAATAACTGCGTCCAAATAAACAACTTACACACATCGTTTCGCTACATCCGTAAAAAACTTAAAACTGTTCAAAACCCACTTTCCAGAAATCAAAGAGGTGCTCATTCCGCGAAACCTAAAAACCTGAAATTTCGACCTGAAATTAAACTGTACACCTACTCAGTAGCTGTTGCGTGCCTCGGCGTTTCCTGACTACGCTCACTTGATGTTTGTTAGTCTCATTACTACTCTAGTGTCTCGCGGCCATCATTTTCCTTTGCTCTTAGTCCTCCATCTCTCCGTCCTCTTCTTCCTCCTCTTCTTCTTCCTCCTCGTCATTCATCTCTTCCTCTTCTTCTTCGTCCATTTCTTCCTCCTCCTCCTCCTCCTCCTCATCGCCGTCATCATCGTGATCGCTACTGTCACGTGCATCGTTTTCCTCCCCCTCGTCGCTTACACGAAAAATTTCCCAATCCCGCGCAGTATCAGGCCGAACAAAAATATCCCCAAACGGCACCATTTCGTTTCGGCTACCCACTTTAACACAATGACCTGAAGAGCTTGGCCTCTGATAAACCGCAACGGCATATTTCGCGGCACCACAGTGGCACGCTAGATAACGACCTTTTGTCAAGAAACCGGCAGCACGTATGAACTGTCCCGGTTCCACCAGCAAAATTCTTCCTTCGTCGGCACGCTCACAATTGGACACAATCATTTGCGAAGAGTGGACACCGAGCACTTCCGCTGGTACCCAGAACGGGTGCTGTTCCACGAAGACCTCTTCCTGAGGCTGGAATTCCTCACGAAGGATACGGAAAGGCTGAGGCGTTCGTTGCTCAGTAGAAAACAACAAATTCACGGGCTTCGTTGTGGCCAGCATGTACGTGTAGAGATCCAGCTGTTCCCGTTCGGACAATAAGCCGGTCTAAGAGAAAACAGGACGTAAGTGTAGTTTAGCTACGCAGGATTCCTACGGGTAAGGAAGGAACAATCATTGTGTTGCTAGCGCTTAGGAATTCCTGCAGTTTGCATGGAGCAATTACTGAGTAATCAAAGTAACAGGTCGCTTGAGGCAAGATATCTGCCGATGATCGAATTTGGCTACGGTTCACATTATCGCAATACAAATTACATATAAACCAACTAAATTTGTCTACCCGTATTTTACGCGCTCATTTCTTACCTTGGCAGGGCCGTCAGCCAGCTGAGTAGGGCTAAGCAGGGGAAATCGGATAAGGAAAAACGCCTCTCCCAGTACTGCACGCCGGTTGGCTGCCGACGCCTCCTGATTATTCCGCTTGCAAGCTTCCACGCACCAGCTGCAGTCAAAAAAATTTAATGCAACGGCCAAGGACTATACAATCCAAATCAGGCATGGCTCGACGGGAGCACCGGTCATCGACTATTACTGCTAGCGATATTGTACAATTAATTCCCCTTACAAGCTTACTGTCTGCCATGACCTGCTTATGTCACTTTTAATTTTAAATCATCTCCTGACAAAACTCAGCCATTAGCTGCGCTCCGATCGATTACACAATCGTAAGCATAAGAAGCAGTAATTAAGCTGGAAGATATTCACTCTATTACTAACCTCTCCACAGCTTTGTATACTGTGTGTTCGTCTATTCGCAGCGTGTTACACTCCAGCAGTTTCTGCAACGTGTCTCGGCTGATAGCACTGAATTCTTTTAATTTGAACACGATGTCGGAGTATGCCTCGGCCACACGGAAGCAGAACTGCACGGTATCGTCAGGATGCCACTTTGCACCCTGCAGAGAGAACAATGCTGAATGCTGAAGTTGTGAGCGCGCTGTTAGTAAAGGTAAGTACGGACACACATGAACTGGGATGCCATTGATTTGGCTTCTTCGCAACACAAGCAATGAACACACAACTAACTTTCTCTGAAGTACGAAAGTTGACAGATTAACTTAGAGTCATTGACAAAAACTGTGGAGATTTTTAATTTTGTAACGAATTTTGATTCATACCGGTGATACCGCTATAAAGTGTTTCTCAGAGAAATAGTAATCTGTAAGCGTCTTGAGCAATTTTACATTCGTTGTATCATGTATAGACTGTGTACCCTTTCCAGAAGTGTCAGGCAGTTGTCCGCTCGAATGTGCTTCGAAACAAACTGGTTGCACTGTTCCAGCAGTAACGGAAGATCATATTTATCTGCACAATACAACACGGGCCACACATTCTCCACAGTGAGATCAGCCTTGTCAGTATACATGTAACTGCAACAGACAGTGTTGAGCCAAGTACCAGCGCGCGAATTTCAGGGAAAAACTGTGACACACAGATACACATTATGTCTGCTTACTTCAGCATGGTCTCGAAGGCTTCAGGCAGAACTTCGGGAATATCTACGGTCTTCTTCCGCTCTGGCATGCTGCCGTGGAACATTGTGTAGAAAACATCGCTGCTCAGGCTCAAGATGCACCTGCAAAGTCAGAATTCATCGGGCAACCACTGAAGGACTGACAGCTGGAGATTGATCAATATTAGGCTGCAATGCGCGTACTTGAGTGCAGTGAACATCCGTGTTTCACCGTGATCGCGTCCGACAACGAATTTTATATCACTTAGTTCTCCACTGTTCAGAGAACCTTGCAGGCGATTGGCTATCCCTGCCACTGCGCCTCGGCGCGGCTGCGCGTCGTCTGCGAGCGCGATCGGCGCAGATTTTCCCGACATGGTTGGATTGGGAAGCAAATTCTAGCCAAAAAAAGAATAGCCTTTAACTTGCAAGGCACCAGCAGGTACTTTTGTTAGAGATGTTACAGTTTACAATCTTTCAGAAGCTGTAGAACAAAACTGGCATCGTAACTAAAGGATTCGGATCGCACAGTGAAAATAGTGATAATTAAACTCTTAATTATGCTGGGAATTAAACATTTTACTTAATTCAATTAAAATTATGGCAATTTTAATTATGCTGGAGCATAATTAAAATTGCGTAATTTTAATTAAGCTTGAGCATAATTAAAATTGGTCATTTTTAATTATACTGAAGCTTAATTATACCTGGATAATTTTGCTTGAGCAAAATTAATTAAGCTTAAGTAAAATTGCCTGAATTTTTATTGATGAAACAGTTGGGTGCTGTTTTGAATGCTTCAGATTTATAACTTCAACTTGCAATCAATACTATTCAGTAAGGCGTATAAGACATTCATTTTTTCAACCTCGACCGCCTGTAATTGTACATGCTGCTGCGTAACCTGCTTTCGCAATCGTCTCCCATGCTGTGTACTGCGTCTGACTTGTAGTCATGGACTCATGTACTCTAGTCTTGTAAAATAATGAATTTTACTTGACAATAAACAGACCGGAATCAGAGTATAAGCAAAGGCGGGCATTGAAGACGAAACATGTAAATGCTCGGCGCCTGGCAGTATAATCATGAAAGTACGATATCTCGCACGTGCCTCAAAATATTGAGAAAATAGATGTGCTGGCTGATAAGTAATAACCAATCGCTGATCTACAAAAGCAATTTCTTCAGGAGGAGTAAATTCCTGTACCGCATGGTGTACGATATGAGTATGGACATTGCCAGAATATGAAAATGCGCGCGCATTCAGGCAAAAAGAAGAGAACTATTTTTAGCCTGTCTCTTTCACTGAAAGTGAGCACAATGAGATCTTCTATAATCGACTCCTGCTTGTGAATAAAAGTTCACTAAGGAGAAACTGCAATTATTAACACGTTCTTGTCTTTAGAGCGAGACAAATATGTTTTGTGCTGCGCTGCTAACAACCGTTGTTATTTTATGCGTAAAATTTTTGTGTAGCTTTTTGCCGGTTAGCGGTTTTATCTCTTTGGGGATTACAACGGCTTAATTTGTACGCATAACTGTCAACATGAGCGACGAAGAAGACGACGGGCTTTCCTCTGTTATACCGAAGAAACCTGGGCCTGGTAGACCATCGAGCTCGGTACTGTGGAAATCGGGATACATGACGTACAATCAGGATAAAGAAGAAACAACGTGCCACATCGATCAGTGTAATAAAACCTTCAAGAAAAAAAGGACCAGCAATCTGAAGGAGCACGTGCGCAAGGTTCATGCGGCAGTATATCAGCAGCTGGAGCGAGAAGAACGGGAGAAAGAAACAGAACGTGCCGCCGCTCAGAGTAAGACAGAAGATAGGCCGCCACCTGGTGGTTACTGGCCAAACGACTCGCCGGACTACAAGAAAGCCGTTGCAGCACTATCTGGGTTTATCGTCTGTTCCACGGCATCTTACAGTTCAGTTGATCATCCCTTGTTGAAGAAGTTTTGCCGCATTCTCAATCCGCGATTTCGTAAACCGTCCAAATCAACAGTTGCTACTCAGTGTCCAAAGTTTTACGCGACAATGAAAGACCGGATCAAAGCGGCTATTAAGAACTGCAAAGGGTAAGACAACTGAATTGTGTGTTCGCACTGAACTTTTCCCTGAAAATTTAAATCAATCGTTAGGTGTACTAGATACATATTGTATCAAGACATTGCTGCTATTTGCTCGTTTATTGCATTTATCGCTGTGAAGGCGTTTTATTGGCACTAGTCCAGTGGGCATGGTAAAAAACAAATTGAAGTACATAATGCATGCACCTTTAATGTACTGTACGTAATCCTGTATTCCTATAATTTTTTAATGAAGAAAAATCGCTAGCGTGGCCCACGCAATTCGTTATTTCTTAGGCTAATACCACTGTACACTTGCTTCTTGATGGCATCATAATTACGAGTAAGCGTGCTTTACAATCTACAACAAGAAAATACATTTATTATAATTAATAGCTAAGAACAGTGTCTAATCGCATTCGTATACTGCAAAAACCCGCACACAAAATGCAAACCTTAAAATACATGAAAAGGAACTGTTTCAGGGAAATGACTGTAGATCACAAGAGCATCTCAGGCGAAGTCGAATATGACTCTGGTTTAGCTATATTAAGAAACACCGTACTGGTGCTCAGTACTCAGCAGACATTTCTTTTGAAGTTCTTACATTTTCGCCTTTTCGTAGACTGATCACGATGTGTGTCGATATATGGACTAAAAGAGGCTTAACAGAAAGCTTTCTCGGCATAACAGCACATTTCGTCGACAACAACATGACGCGTTGGTCAGTGACGTTAGCCGTAAAACTGTTTCCCGGCCGGCACACAGGAGAACGTATCAGAGAGCTGATACTTGAAGTTTTGAAAGAATATGGTATATCCGAAGAAGATATCCTGATTGTGGTAACGGACAACGGAAGCAACATGGTAGCGGCATTGAATGATGTTGAACGAGAGTTGACAGAGGATGAAGAGTTGGAAATCATTGAAATGGCGATGAGCGAACTGGAGCATGCTGACGAAAGCCAAATTTTAAACGGTATGCTGTAAAGCGATAAGCAAACTAAGTTTATATGAAGTGCTGTATTTATTTTTTAAAGCACCGTCAAGAGTAAAATACATAATACAATTTAAGGGCTGCAATAGTATACTTTATAGCCACTTTATCCCTGGGCAACGATGAGAACTACGACGGACTGAGCGCAGCTGAGCGGGATGAAACAGAAATAACCGAGTCACAAAAATCACTAGACGACGAAATTAACGATTTCTTGGCATGCGAAGCTGATCACGATGCCCAGCTGAGTGACCTTTATCGGCTTCCTTGTTTTGCTCACACTCTGCAGCTAGTGGCTCGCCAGTTCGACGCATCGGCAGAACTCAAAGATGTCGTGAAGAAAGCACTGAAGTTAATTACTCGGTTCAACTGTTCTGCCATTGCCACTTCTCGTCTTATTGAATTGGCAGGAAAGAAACTCATCGGAGATGTTAAGACGCGTTGGAATTCCACGTTACTGGTGTTGGAAAGGTTAGTATTCTTTTTTTACTGCTATAACATGCATTATTTAAACCCCTTTATGCTCTTTACTGGGCTATTTAAATGTTACTATAAACACTTCCGCTTTTCTCCTATTCTGCCCACCAGATGCTAAAATTATAAGTCTCGTAATCAAAGTTTGCTTCTACTATTGGCACTACACTTCGCAACCTACAATTATTGTCAATCTCCAGTGTCCACTACAGTGAACAGCCAATGGTACTCTGTTTTATCACTTAAATTTATCCTACATTACTGCTTAAATTTTGTTTGCATTTCCAAAGTATGGCTGTCTGTACATCGTCAAGTTTTCGAAAACCATCAATGTTGTTTGTGGATACGGCGTAAAACCGGAATGTCGCACGGTATCACGAATGCTATACTTGTACGGGCTAACACAATTACAATTACTGTAAACCATAATTACTAATATCATATCAGTACCTTGTGACTCGGTTACAATCACAGTAGGTACATATTGTGATATTAAGTGGTGCAAATGCATACTTATAACGCCCTTAATGCCTAAACGTTCAATTATGAAGGATAAGAAATTATTATATTAATAGTGTTTTAAATGTGTTATAACATTGTGCGCCTCATTTAGGCTTTATGAGGTTCGCGAATTCCTTACGATAGTCGGTCAAGAGCAAAAATTCGACACGCTTCTGGAAACCGACTATGAAAAGATCAAAGCAATCATCTTCCTTCTTCGGCCCTTTCACGAGTACACGGAGGCAACCAGTGGAGAAAAATATAACACTGCAGAACTCGTTGTTCCCTCGATCCGCCAGTTACAGGAGCACTTGAAGCTTTGTGCTGGAAAGCGGGTGATCACCAACACTGCCAATAAGCTGCTCTCTGAGTTAAATCGCCGCTTTTCGGTGTTTTTGGATCCGCGTCACGAGAAGCACAATCCGTTCTTCTTGGCGGCTGCTTTCCTGCATCCAACTTACAGGAACCTACTGGATGAATCACAGTCATCGGCAGCGATGAAGTACATTAAGGACATGAACGAACGGGTTCATAGAAAGGAAGGGCGCGACAATGTTCCCGATGACGATATCAGCCCAGCGCGTGGCGAACCGGCGGCTAAGAAGGGTAGATTTAGCCATCTTAGCGGAATCCTTGAGGTAATGCTATGTATTATCAATCAAAATTACAAAATAATGTTGACGAGAAAAGCTGTCGCCCATAATAACAACTTAAACAAATAAAATTTTCTTATTAACTTTAATTATTGGAATCCGCTTGCAGGCTGCAACCTAACACTGTGATACTGTAGTCTAAAAGCATTTAGTGCGCGTACGGTAAGGTTGTAGGTCGCAGTTACCCGCTGATTCGGGAAAGATGGAAGAAGCTTCGAGAAAATCGACGCGTAACAGTAAACTTTGCTGAGAAAAAAACAACAGTACCAAACTGTCAGTGCAGATATAGCTAAAGCCATTAACAACCGTACAGTGTCAAGTGGGCAATGCTGTTGCTGTTGAGTAGCAGCGATACCGGTAACATTTGCATGAAAGCGGAAATAACCGACCAGGTTTACAGAACTGCGGTAGGAATGCTGGACAACGTACAGTACGTCAAATAATTTCCGTCCAATATCCAAATTTCCGTCAAATATCTAAACATTTTTGTTGATATTATCAGCTTGCCTACTGGAAAGGTCATAAAAACAGAAGATTGTAAATTTTTTTGGCTTCGGTGAAATACGAAAAGTATTAATTCGTTAAAAACCGGCACGGAAAATGGGTGTCTCTAATAACCACAGACAGTGTGTAGTTAGGTAACTCCTTGAAAAAAAGGTGCCTTTAAGTAACGGGTGCAAAAAGGGGTGACTATAAAAACCGGGGGTAAAAAGGGAAGGCTATAGTGATATCCTTAACAGTTTTAGCATATTTTAGTATCAATTTATTGTTATTTATGACAGCTACACCCATCATAGATGCTCTTCCTACTGACAAAGGTCAACATAAGCGTTAGACGGTCGCATTAGAAATGTGCCGTCAAGTGTGCCTGAATAAATCGGAAAGCCTTAAAGGCAAGTAACCATATACGGACGCCTATAATAACTGAGGTGGGAGGTAGTAATAGTAATATTGTTAACAACAACTGACAAAGAAACCGAAATGGCGAAAACCATACACCCACAAAAACTAAAAGTCAATTTTTTCTTTATAAAATTACAATATTTCGATATTTCAGAAAAAATCTGGCACCACTACATCCAAGGAAAAGAACCCCGTCTTGAAAGAATGTGCCTTGTTCAAAGCTGAGGACTTTTCAAAAGACAGACTGGTGAAAGACAACTTGGAGCTCGACAGCTTTGAGTTTTGGAAGCAAAGACGCAATATTTTCCCAGAATTGCACAAGGTGGCAATGTGTATCGCCAGCGCACCTGCAACCAGCACACCAGTAGAAAGAGTATTTTCTACTGCCGGAATAGCAACATCGGGAAAAAGGAACAGGCTAAGCGGACTGCGGCTCGAAATGGAGGTTTTACTGCAGCGAAATTACAAGTTATTGGAGATCGACTGATTTTCCTGCCTGCTTTCAATTTTCCATTTTTATGTTTTCCTTTTTTCACTTTCTTAAATTTTTCTCTTTTTGAGTATTTCATTCTTTGCTGTTTCGTTTTTTTCTTTGCACGGGAGTTTCACCCGGGGTCTCCATGTAGTCAACGGTTCTCCTGATCTAGTAATAATAATGAATAACGCTGCTCTGTTCTCTCGTGACATGTAACACGACATTCCTGTGCTTTCGCAAGGCTTTCTTAAAGATTTTGTGTAATAAAAAAGGTCTACAAGTATATAGCTTAACAGTTTTTTTTGTAAAATGGGAAGAGTAATGGACCGTGGGCAGTAGCTGCACCATTCAGCAGCATTTCCTCCTACCAGTCAAATAAATTTTGATTATAAATTTGCTTAAGCAAAATAATATCAAATTTTAATTAAGCTGGAGTATAATTAAAATTGAGCAATTTTAATTATGCTCCAGCTTAATTAAAATTACCCTAATTTTAATTTTGCTGATCATAATTTAAATTGGTTGATTTTGAATTATGATGAGCTTAATTCAAATTATAAGCAAAATAATTATGATCAGTTTAATTATCACTAAATAGCCGCCTGTCCTGTACCCATTTAGAGTTCTTGAAACCGCGCATCTGTCACCATGGCAGCCGCCCTCCCTTGTATGCGAGAGTGATGACGTCAAACGGTTGGTTACCAGTCCTCCTCACACTATAGTAAGTACTTGTCCATGCATTACATGTCAAGTACAATACATGGAAATGGTACAGTACTTATGATTATCTAGAGCGTTTCCATCGGCCTCCGCCGCTGGTAATGATTTTGTCGGCAGAATAAACTCAAACTCGCCGGTATCGCGAGCTCAGTGTAGATTTGGTACTTAATAGTTGGATGCCACAATGCCATAGCTAGCCACTAGCCAGGAGAATGTCGCCGAAGTGTATTCGGGAGTGCGCGAGGGTAAGATGGTATCCGCTAAATTGTTCACGCGAAATACAATACAATAAATCAACACAGTAATGCAACATAAATTAATACAATAACACAACAACAAAAATACAACAACAGAATTACAATACACAAGCAATTTTTAGCGGACATCCACAGCCAATTTATCGCCGACGTATTGCTGTGGCAACTAAAACTGACAAGCACGAATGCGCTGAGCTTTTCTCCCATATGGACACATGGACTGCAGCTGCCAAACGCTTTTAACAAGAAACTCACTACTTATGGCCATTCGATGAGTAGACAGGTGCAGTCTTGCACGAGCCCATTGCTATTTCCGGTGAATAATGGAGGGCTCAACTCCGCGTTCCTCCACGAACCGTTTGCGGCCTCGTTTTCTTTCATACAGCGCAATCCAATAGTGCCGCCACTGCTCCCCGACCACACAAACCCTTCCCGCCCGCTGGGAACTCCCGTGCGCTACCCTGGTCATTTTCATCTTGGCACCTAGGAGCTCCCATTCTTTCGTCTGGGCATTGAATTGTTTAGCGAAGTACAGAGAAGAATCGCGTCTCCCGTCTGTCACAAAGAGGCCGTTCTACGCGACCGCGACGCCCTTCTGCCGCCGCTTTACGAGACGGGGGCATTATTCCCACTGCCCGTGTACCGGGCAGGTGCAGGCGACGCAAGGTGTCCCAGACCGGATCGTACAGTTGCAGACAGAGTGTCAAGCCGCTGCTGTTAGTGATAGCATTGAAGAAGAGGACGAAACTGACACTGTCGGAAATCGTCCGTTAGCGTCAGCGCCGGCAAGTTCCTGACCACCAACCGCAGAGCGGCCGCAGAGCGACCCAGCAAGGTTATGACTTGTGTTAATAAAATCAATCCATCGTTTTCGTTACCTTGGAGTTCTACTGGCAAAATTAATAAGAAAATAGGTTAGTGATGCAGACCGGGGACCGCTGTCCACGCACATTCCCATAGCAAGCCAATGCGTCCCGACGTCACGCAGGATTATGAGCACTGTTGTTACTTTAGCTCCAACGGCATAAGTAGAAGAATTTCGGCGAACAGTAGTACACCAGGCTGATATGTATCAATCAGATTTTCTCATTGATAAGCCTGTCATGGCGTAAAAACCAAAGTACACCATGCTGTGAATTAATAAATGAACGATATATATGGCTTTGAACTAACGTAAACTCTAATGTACAGGGTGTTCAACTGTTCGCGGAGACGTTGCACGCTCTATCGGCCTTTTCCAACAATGACGCTTTTTTTGGAGCACTAAACGTTATCGAATAGGTCAGGCATGTTTTAGGATTCTATACGAAAATAGATTTCTCAGCGAATTGAAGCATCCTCATTTCAATTTCCGCATTTTCTACGTAAAAATGATGTCGCTGGTTTTTACTAGCTGAAAATCGTTTGAATGTTTGTTTTGCTGTATCATGAATGGCTTAACGGTTACTGTTTACCTTCTAATAATCCATGAAACATTTGGAATCCAGAAGGAAGGTAAGCATACTGTACGCACGAATGTACAATAGCTAAATGCACTTCTACTGTTTAACTCTACATGTTAATACTGCTTTGTATTTCAATCTGTAATGTATACGCGTTTATGAAATAAAATCCGACTAAACCAATTTGGATCACCTTAAAGCTACATGTACATACCGCAACTGAACTATACAAATTAATATTAGTCCTTTCCCCTACTAGTTTTTTTGTCGGTAGTTCTTTTGGAATCCACATGCAACAAAACGTTGATGCTACATTGCCCCACGTTCAGCCATATGGAGCACCGGGCAGCACGGTTGAAATTCAACAGTCTCCCACTAGAATCTTGCGCGGTTGTACTACAAATGCCAACCAACTGCAGAACAAGATCATCAATCTACCTAAATTTTCCGTAAGAAAGTGCTGAGTACGGATATAAAGACATACATACATGTATATAGAGGGCATAAAGTCATGAAGTCGTTGCCCTAACGAAACTGCATTTAGGGATTTCGGCCACTGAATAAGTACAGTATTATGCCGATAGGAAACGTACGGAAACCTGTACAGTGATTAGCTTTAGCCTTTAGTCACCTTTGCAATCCAGTGTGATTGATAACGAAGCAACTTTGCATAGGAATAATTTTTTGTAACTAGTGCCTGCCATTTAAGGACGTCGCAAACCATACAGGTCTTCGAACGAACCCATGGTAACCGAAAACTTATCAAGCGCCTGAACGGCAACTTTGCAACCACGTCAAAATGGAATCTGCACTCCGTGGCGCACATTGTATCCGCAATCCATCGTAGTCCGTCTTTGGAGATCGTCCTACACAATAAACCGCACCTTCAAAGTTTCATAAAATACGAGACTGTGCTGATTGATATGACCATCATTTCGCAAGGTAACGATTTAGAGCACTTCCACGTGTGTAGCCGGCAGATATGTTGGCCTGTTGACTGTTGGCGAGCCCGGCAGGAAAGTGGTTTTTCTCCCATAAATCTGCCGAAGTGCACCCACAATTCTGCCGACCCAACCCTATGCATTGCCTATGGGAACTCCAATAGATCAGCCGAACCGGTGCAGCAGTGAAATTTGATACTTTTGTTGAGTGCGTATCGGCAATAGCACGGCCGGGCTGCATCATGTACACCATAGGGCCGCCTAAGCATATTGTGCCGGCGCTAAACAGAGAGAAGCGTGCGCTATCCCTTGCGCCGTGTCTAATCCTTGCACAGAAGCCTTCTGCTTTGTGGGTTCATGCACACTGTACAGATACCATCGCAAAAAATAGTAAATTTATAAGATTTACTAAATCGATGTTTTTCCAAACAACTATTCTGCTTACACCTACAAACTATGGATGGTGTACGTTATCCTTAGACAGCCTTACATAAAAATTCCCCATCCTTTATTCGGCAATATCCCTACATAACACAAAATGCCTGTGCGCTGGACAATAAATAAAATAACTGGTTTAAACATTGAAAAAACACCCAAAATCGTTAATGATACCCACTGCATAAACTATTTATGTATGCCTGCGCTTGATGTACTGTAACTATAAACGAAATAAAAATAGTTTAATAAAAAGTATTACTTAAAAGTTGTCAACATATGGCAACATACTGTCAGTTTAACTGGTGATGTCATGCAAAATTGCACCCAAAATTGAAAAGTAATTTTCAAACAACGACCAATAGATCAGCCGAGCTGCGCCAATATTCCTGCCGACCCGACCCTATTCATTACTTATGGGAACTCCAATATATCTGCCGAACCGACACAACAGTGAAACTCGATATCCTTGATGAGTGCATGCCGGCTTCCACTGTCTGGGAGTGATGCAGCTTGACATACTGATGATAGGGATATTGTAATAGCGGGGATAATGTAACATTTCAACAGGTTTCACTTTTTTTTAATGTTGCAAATTCAAAAAGTTGATTATACACAGAACACATTTAATGAAATTCAGTTGTCATTTCCGAGGGGATAAAAAGAGGTTTGAAAAAGTGGGGATTTAAACGTTTTGTGTAGTGACTGGTTTATGCTGCTGAAAACTCGTGGCAATAAGTCTCTGATGATCAATTCGCTTGGATGTAAACCAACAGCAACTAGATAGGTCTGCAAAAATTATCTTATGAATTTCCAGGTGAATAACACAGTAAGTTAGAGGATGGCCCGCGCTTCGTAAAAAAATTGGTATGAATATGTGCCGATATGAGATAAAATTGCTGTCGATCGATAAGCAAATAATTATTGATTGGGGACTGACCAATCTGTAAATGTCACCCGGTTGGCCCAAACACAAACAAATTTGGGTTTTTTGACAAATAAGAAGTTGTACAAGTACTACTTATACTTAGCACAAAGGTTATAAACGTTCTCCGAATATCCACTCGTCGAAGAGATTTAAATTCTTCATCAAACTAAGCGGTGTGCTTTTGATTTGGTTAAAACTGAATTCCATTACTAAAACCATACCAACACTCAGCATACGGGCAGTCGATTTCATTGACTGTTACGGAGAAGATGCATGAATTAACATACGTCTAAATTGCTGCGTTTTTTTGTTACAAGTTTTTACTGTAAAAATTCGGAACTCTGTAAAGCGGAAACGGTATCTGAATGTCTTCATAAGATTTCTTAAAAATAATCGAGCATATAACAGGCATAGGCAAAATATATAAAAACACGCGCCACCTCACGTTCAGCACTTCCAGTTCCTTAAGATTGTCGAGAAGACCATCAGGTATATACAGTGAAACCCCTCGTAACGTATACCCTTTTAAAGCATTAACCCCTTTATTAAGGGCATGCGGATGGGAACCGGACTGTCCGGCATATTATAACACAGAGGCAGTTCTCTTGTTAACATTCACTTCTCTACAAGTATAACATACACCTATCGTAGAACGGTTGGCCATATTCCCATAGTTAAGGTACATTCAACGCCTGCGTGACGTACACCTGGCTGATAAATAGAAAAATTATCAGCTGGCTGATAAATAGAAAATAAATAAATTTTAAAATTTAATAGAGCTCCGGTTTCTAGCTTAAAGTCTGCCCAATGGCGGATCTTGCACGGAAGTTAGGAGCCATTTGGGTACCGGCTGCCGGCACGCCAGTCGCCTGATCCTTTTCGCGTCATGTCGCGTATCATGCATGCGTATTAAGTCACACTCCGACATTCCGGCCAAAAGCCGGCTGCCGGAAAACGGTCGCGAGAATTCAGTTTGTCGATTATTCCAGCATTCCGGCAGAATGCCAATAGCCGGGAAGCCCCCTGCCGTTGCTGCGTTTTACACAGGCTGTCGGATGCCGGTAGCTTGATACAAAACTACGGTGGCGGTAGGACTTAGAAAATTATTAGTTTTCCGCCTTGTACTGTTCCACAGTATAGGACTTTCCCAGTTGAAATTTAATTCAACAGATGACGTGTGTCCTGTGAATTATTAACTTTTTGAATGCGCATCTTAAAAAAAGTGAAACCTGTTGAAATGTTACAATATCCCCGCTGTTACATTATCCCTATCATCAGTATGTCAAGCTGCATCACTCCCAGACAGTGGAAGCCGGCATGCACTCATCAAGGATATCGAGTTTCACTGTTGTGTCGGTTCGGCAGATATATTGGAGTTCCCATAAGTAATGAATAGGGTCGGGTCGGCAGGAATATTGGCGCAGCTCGGCTGATCTATTGGTCGTTGTTTGAAAATTTCTTTTCAATTTTGGGTGCAATTTTGCATGACATCACCAGTTAAACTGACAGTATGTTGCCATATGTTGACAACTTTTAAGTAATACTTTTTATTAAACTATTTTTATTTCGTTTATAGTTACAGTACATCAAGCGCAGGCATACATAAATAGTTTATGCAGTGGGTATCATTAACGATTTTGGGTGTTTTTTCAATGTTTAAACCAGTTATTTTATTTATTGTCCAGCGCACAGGCATTTTGTGTTATGTAGGGGATATTGCCGAATAAAGGATGGGGGAATTTTTATGTAAGGCTGTCTAAGGATAACGTACACCATCCATAGTTTGTAGGTGTAAGCAGAATAGTTGTTTGGAAAAACATCGATTTAGTAAATCTTATAAATTTACTATTTTTTGCGATGGTATCTGTACAGTGTGCATGAACCCACAAAGCAGAAGGCTTCTGTGCAAGGATTAGACACGGCGCAAGGGATAGCGCACGCTTCTCTCTGTTTAGCGCCGGCACAATATAGGCGGCCCTATGGTGTACATGATGCAGCCCGGCCGTGCTATTGCCGATACGCACTCAACAAAAGTATCAAATTTCACTGCTGCACCGGTTCGGCTGATCTATTGGAGTTCCCATAGGCAATGCATAGGGTTGGGTCGGCAGAATTGTGGGTGCACTTCGGCAGATTTATGGGAGAAAAACCACTTTCCTGCCGGGCTCGCCAACAGTCAACAGGCCAACATATCTGCCGGCTACACACGTGCAACGACGAATTTTGCGGCGCACAAAGACTTCTGTTTACAGATGCATTTGATCGTGGAATCATGCACTGCCCATCCCTAAAAGGCTACGTCCCAAAACGCTTGTGTGAAAGGGATCAGACGCGCATCACCTGCCCACACATATATCGGCATCAGTTAGGTTCAGACGGCATCGAGCAATGCCTTCCATGTGGTAACTCTACGGAACTGGGTGGGGTTCATGGTCAGCATACCGGTTCTTACAGAGGAACCCTAATCCAGACCGTTACTCTGCAAGAAGTACAAGGTAAAATGTTCACTGCCACCATACAAAGTCATATGGTTTCAATCGTTTCAATCAGTTCAGCCTTTTTCGTTCATGGCTCTCTTGGTGTTTCCTCGATACTGTATGCTTGATGAACGCCAAGAATAACCGAGAATAACCTTACTCTGAAATTTAAATACTAAAATCTCCTTATCCAAAATGATATCTGGAGATTCAGGAGATCGACCATGTTGCACTTGCGACCGTCGGTTCTGCATGATCTGTTATTACGATGAGCATCCCTAGCCACACGCTTTCGAATCTAACTTAGCTTTGGTACTTTTTATTACGTATAAGATGATCTTATAAGGTAGGCCTGCGATCTAGTAGCCACTCAGTGAGATGGCCTACCTCGATTTTGGTAATCGTAATCACAGCTGATCGTGATTTTGTGACTTTGCATTTTTTATAACCTCCCAAGCTAAAAGAACAATGCGGCATATAAGTAATTTGAGCTGACTTGTGACAAGCTCTAGCACCACATGCAGTATTTTTAATAATGTACAAGCCTGTCGAGGAATTGAGCATGTAAAGGAACAGGTAGAGCGATATTAGCGCGGAGTTAGCGCTTGAACAGTGGCCAATGCACTACGCATATCGCAATGCGTAACTGCGCTTCGCAGTTTAGATTGCCCCTTACTGCACCGACCGTTTTCGAGCCACATTCCGCCAGGCAGTTACAATTATTCTCATTAAAATATCTGGGGCCGAGTGGGGCGTACCAAGCCACCAGCCAGCCAAATGCATGTTACGTGTTTAAACAGTGTGGCGTGGCACGCCGTAGTAGGGATTTACGCGCAACCCGCAAATTTACAATGTTCGCTGTTCTTACGAATGCTCAGTTTCTCGACAGGCTTGTATATAATTTATTTCTCAATGTGTACAAGGCGAGCTTCACTCAACAAAAATGATCAAATGAAGAATTTGTCCCAATTAACATGGGAAGGGACTGTGCACAATACACTCATAGCATTACCACGCATAATCTCCAAACACAAACGCTGAAACAAAAAACAAGTAGAGCGGCTCTCGCCCGTCCTTAAATATAACTTCATACCAACCTCCTTTAACGTAACAATGCCGGTCTCACACCAAGTGCTGTGATGTATGCATGTATGTAAAGAAGTACGTAAATAAGTATGACTTTAATAATACAGGTTGACAGCAACGAGCTCGCACGATAACTAAATATGAAGTACGACAAGTGACAAACACGCAGTAACGGAGTTGCTAAGTACAACAGGAATAATACGTAAACGTAGATTCACGAGAACACCACATTCGTCCCCACGTATCAAAGAAGCATGATACGTAATGTAATCAGGAAATTGTAATTAGAAATTGTAATTGTACGTACACTGTATAAAGGATCAGTACTAGTATGAACGAACGAAATTGTATGAATAACCAGGCAACCGTATAATTATTGTAAGTTAAGTAATCCACGTAAACAAACACTGATATAAAAACGTAGGTACTTCACTTCTGCAGTCCAACAGTCGAGTACGGCGCCGTTTGGATGGCACTGCAGGTTGCATTCTTGTACTGTACGTCAGGAACAGCGCTTCTCTAGCTGATACGCACCGGTATCCAAGGAAGCGATAGTGTTGTTGGTGCTGTTGGTTGAGAATGGGGCTTGCTGCATTGAGCAAATGAACTATGTCAGCCATGGCAACATCTTCCAATTCCTCCCGCTGGCGGGAAGGACCAGGTATCCATATCGTCCGGTAATGGGCGAAGTGGAAAATTCCAACAAATCCACTGGCGCTGCACCGTGAAGGTCAGCTGGTAGCGGATATCGTAGTACATATGCTGCTGTACATGGCTACGGATCATCCTGTCGTCTTCTGAACGGTGTTCCAGGGCGGAACGCTAAAGTAGATGGTACAGCATTACGGTACCGAAACAGGCAGGAATCCAAATTTATCCAGCATTGTGGAGTAGAAAGGGAGCGAGCATCTGTCGCCTAAACAGTAGTAGCAGGAGAAGCCAGGGATGGGGATGCATCAGCAAACTCGTGGGCGGAGTCCTAGGCAGGATGTAGCAATCCTCTCCCCCACGATAGCATAAGAAGGGCGTAGCAAATTGGCGAAAAACAGTAGTAAATCAAAGCCGTAAGGAATACGAAGAAACCAGCTTAAGTTCGAAACTTCACGCCAATTGTGATGTATGCATGTATGTAAAGAAGTACGTAAATAAGTATGACTTTAATAATACAGGTTGACAGCAACGAGCTCGCACGATAACTAAATATGAAGTACGACAAGTGACAAACACGCAGTAACGGAGTTGCTAAGTACAACAGGAATAATACGTAAACGTAGATTCACGAGAACACCACAAGTGCCAAAAGTCTCACATGCAAAGGGGACGAAATTACACCGATTAGTGAGCGACTTGTATTTTCCAATCTTCTCCCGGCAAGCCAGTTCGGCGGCGGCGCCAGCACACTTTGAGGTCGCGTCGATGTAAGAATTCGCCATGGTGTCTCTGCAAGTGACGTCCCATACTAACGGCCGTCCGCGGTACCACTTCCAACGCGTGGCTGCATCCGGGCGCTTTCCGTTTTTACGCAAAAGCCAATGGGCTCCGGATATGACTCAATACCGGCATTACATAGCGCTCGCAGTATGATATCGTTAATGCCGTTATGGCGTTCCCTTCTCCCGATGCACTTCTTGCACGCTAGCCCATGGTATCCGTTTTCCATAACCTCTTTGCCACATCTCGCACACGAGTGCTGTTCTACGATCTTAGCGCCGAGCCACAGGCCAACAGAAATGCGGAAAGTCTGACTATCCAGGAGGTTGCCGAATACTTTCGGGGAAGGGCGTTAAGCCAGGCCCCGTCGTATAATAATTAATAATATTATTATGTAATACAAATTTAATTTTCTTGAATAAATAAATTAATGCAGCGTAGTTTTCGCTATGCGCAGTTGGACAGAAAATTATAAGATATCGTTTAGAAACGCTTTTTGCTGCGTACCGTTGTACAGGTAAAATTATTAAGGTATCTTTTAGAATATCGATAAATAAGGTATCTTTTAGGATATCTATCAGGGAACTTTAATTATGGCGAGAAACGAAAATATCTATGATTTATCAAAACTCGGAGTTTCGAAATAAGATTTCATGATGCAAATTTTCTAGCAATTGGAACCGTTACATATTTCATGGCGCCTCTTCCCAAGTGTCAGTCGTCATATCGCCTGATTATGGAACCATTAACACTCCTTGTTAGTGATCGGCAGGTTGTCCTGCAAGGTCTTTATGCCGGCAACTTTCACGAAATAGCCAACAGGACCCCGGCTTGCAGCCTGACGCATCCCAACTGCTCCCGCATGGCGCACTGGGTGTCATTCTCCTCGCGGACCGCCGGCACGCCGCCCTTCATAAAATTTGGTTACGGCTACCAAATGCAGGCCAACGTATTGTTTCACTTCGCTTCTAAGACACAGAACAATCATGATGACACCCTGCGACAGGTGAAAATAATTTCATTAGGTGACGGGATTCCGCTCTACGCCAAGCCGAAAGTGGAATGGAAAGCCGTTCTGTATGACATTGCCCCGTTTATAGTACCGCTTGAATCAATGTCGAGGGATGAGCATATTATCATGGCCGACCGCATTTACATGTCGCCGGATAAAAATCCCTTATTAAAAGAAATGCTATTTTTCATCCAAGGCCTCACCGTTTGGTGCCGAGGAATTAGCGGCCATCACATTCTCCCTAATGACCGACGGGTGTATCCTCAATCGCAAACTGAAGAGCAAACGGTCGTTTAACGGAGATAGCCGATCTTCTTATATCCGTATTCCATTGCACAAAGGTCATTTGTCAGCACCGGGACAGGAACTGGTCCTGGAAATCTGGCCGCCGGGCCACTACAGTCCCATACATAACCACGGTAACGCCAGCGCGGTGATCAAGATTTTGCAGGGGGCCCTGCTGTCCAAATTCTACAATCCCATTATCTCGGGTAGCTACGAGATGCCGCAGCTGATCACACAGGAACGACTGTATGCCGGTAACATTACGTGGATGTCGTCGGAGCTCTACCAGACCCATGCACTGGTCAACGAACGACATGATATTCCTGCCATCACGCTACAATCCTACCGCTACGAAGGTAGGAAGGATGTAGTCAATGAGGAGTTCTTTTTCTTCTATCAACCCAACAACGCCACCCTTGGAGAGTTTTTCCCTGGGAGCGATGTGGACATTGGAGAGATTGTGCGGCAGAACGGCACGATTCTACAAGAGTACAGAAATCAAAGATGCAGTACAGAAATCACAAGATGAATATTCGCACGCAGCGTAGTGAAGGTCGTCTGAATAAACCGCAACGAGCGAATGTCAGTCCGTTTACACTGTGTGGAATCTTGTGTTAACCGGCGGCCAAATCACGTGTTGAACGATGAAGTTGGGATTGTTCTCATGTTATACGCAGTTACCTGTTGCATATGATCCCTGGAGTAGAGAAATGTTATTAAACCGAAAAATCTCAGTCCATTTAATGAATTTCCTAATCAATTTGACATTGTCACTTCTGAGAATAAAAATTAAGAGCCCCATTCGACCACAGATACAGATACCGGGTACATACTAATAATTACATACTCTTGTACACGTGGTATGCGTGAGTTTCGTACAATTTAATTAGCACGTTTCAACTACTCGATAAGGGCCATAAAATTAATGATTTATTTATTTAATACAGTTTGGCAAAATGGCAGTTAGTTAGGGAGCAAAATCTAAAAAATACTAATCCCAGTTTGCGTTGGATCAGACTGTGCCCATAACACGCACTGTTGGAATTTGTTAGTTTAAATCAAAAATCTGCAGGCACATTAAAATTTACACTAAGGAATGCTGATGCAGATGTTCAAAAGTTGCAGTTTTTAGCCTATCTATTTAGACATCATTTCAAGCAAGTGAAGCAACTATGAACGGAAGGAAGATTAGAAAGACAGTTGTTGGCAAACTAGCCGTTACGGCAGCCGAGTTGTATGGACCCATGGTAATGTGCAAATGATCCTTGAATCGATAAGCATTTTCTTCGTCCACTCCGTAAACGCTGATGTACACGTACGATTGTGGGAATGTGTAATGGTCAGAAGGCGTCATTCTTTTTCTGCGGCTTAGGAGTTGCAGTTTGGGATTTGGTGGAATGACAATTCTCTGTTCGCCTGCTCCATCGAAAACAGCAGCTGATGGGGTTTCAGAGTCATACGTGAAATAAGCCTTGACCTTCCCCTTCATCGTCTCGATACGAAATTCAACTAAAAATCCAAACAGAACGCTTAGCCTGCAACGAAAATATTTTACTCACAGAAAGTAAAAGTGTGAAAACCGTACATTTCGAGAACACTTAAGCACTACATTTTGATTGCATAACATGTGACTGAAGAACTGCCTTCCGGCATTTGTTTCTGCACTTATTAATGGACCAACCGGTAGAAGCTGGCCAGTGAACTTCTGCCGTGCGTGGTACGGGTACCGTATTGAGTAATCGATCAGCCGAATCACAAAGCGAAAGTGGTCAGCTGACGAGCGTCAAGTAGCCAAAGATAAACACTGATAATAGTCTGTTCATGGCCCGGTGTGCATAAAATGTATTGTGATACTATTCACCGTTTAGCAAAACTAAGTAATTGTCCGATCTTCTAGAAATTCTTGCAAAGAGCCACACACGTTTACACAAGCGAATCTGATTCAAAATCAAGATCACCAAGTTTTCCTGTGATTTAAAATAAATTCAAAAGTTTATAAATCCATTTAAAAAAACTGGAAAGGAACAGCATGAACTGGATCAAGAGCATGAACTGGATCAGTCTTCTTCATAATTACTTGTCTGTACGGCCCAGTGTCAAGAAGATAAAATCGATAATAACAATATATTAATAGTTCTGGTGTACGGCAACGCGTTCTTTCAATTTACTTGCAACCGGATGTTGCGGGCCGCTGTGCTTTTAAGGCCAACGCGCGTAGTTCATTTAGCTTACACATGTAATTTACCGGTAAACGCGGCTTTGGTCCTTTTGCACAACGTCCTCGACGCTTTGGCCGACATGCAGATTCTGCGGTACGGAGCACACCGATTCGCTAATCTGCGAAATTCGCTCCGCCAAATGGTTGTAGTTATCAACGTAAATATCCGATTCTCCCGGTGTTCGGTGATATGCAGCAGATCATCGCTCTTGTAGGGGAATCCAACAGCCACCACGAACACCGTAATTTCCTCGGGGCCAAAGCCGGCGCTGTGCACGATATCCTTGCGCACATTTCCGGCATCGGCGGCTTTATCGGTCAGCAATAGGATCACTTGCGGAACACCGGTCTTTTGCGGTTTATACTGCTTCAGCGCTGAGACGCATTTGTTAACTGCGTTGATCGCGTGCTCCCCATCCTGCATGTGTGATGACTGGGATTCCGCATCGGAATCGTCGAGCAGCGCAATAGAGTGAACTCCTGCTGAATAGACAGCCACATCCGATTGTACCTACAATGAAAAATTAAAACTTCGCGTACTGTAGCACGAAAAAGAAAAACTTAGCCGGTGTTGGTAACAGATTCCAGTTCTCCACTTACTTCATTGCCAATTGCGTCGAGTAGGTTCTGAGCAAAATTTCGGTAGCGTTGACGGTCATCTTCTCCCGTATTTTGCGGTTTATCCATCGTAAAACATACTGCAGCGCGCCCGATGCACTGGTATGGACGGATGCAGTCATGCATATTGTAAAGTTTTTCTTGATCGGTCGTGGAAGAGTCGAAATATCTGGTGAGATAATTTGCTTGGTCGATCAGGTTGTCGGGAATGTTTTGATGGTCAGCTTCTCCAAAGGTCAACGCCAGGCGTGCTGCCAGGCCGGACTTCAGCGGGACATCGAGATCGTTCCATTCCTGGTCCGCCCATTCGAAGCCAAAATTGGATTCGATCAGCTGGTGGTAATGGGTTAAATTTGGATAGTGGTCTGTATGTTTGGTCCGCTCAAACGTCGCTGCAGGAACCTAAGGTTAAACAGAAGTGTCCAGTTAACATACATATACAATACAAAGAGCGGTTACGGTATATCAAGCAAACGGCAAGAAAAACTGCAGTTTTTCAAGGCCACCTGTTACTATGCAGCGCCGCGAAAGCATGCATTTAATTGTAATTGTACGTAACCAACTTAAATTAAGACAGTTTGTATTTACATGATAAATGACGTAAATATATATTAAATAAAGATGATGTCAGAATGAAGCATTGCAGCTGATTCATTCGACGTAAATACTCTCTCGCGGTTTTCATCGCTGCACGGTTTACGTCATTGTTGCCTGAATTTCAAGAACAAGTTGCCAATTTTACGTACGAAGTACAGAGTACTGTACAAACCACAACCGCAGTTTGTGTGCGAAAAAACAGTAGGCGAGCACGTGCAGTTTTTCCGCCGCTCACGCTAACACGCAACACTTATAACAGTAAAGTAACTGCTACCCACTGCCTGCCAATCGATATTTTTAAATCTTATTCAGAAAGCTGTGGTTATAATTATGTGAATGTGTTTTATTCATTATCGTAAGCACTTCATCAAGAGCGCGCGAAGTCAAAATTATCAGTTAAAACTTACAGCAGCCATACAACTTACACACGCAATTAACAACATTACGTACTTATATTTATGTCTATGTCCCAATTTTAAAAAACTACCAATTTTAATAATTTCTATGCACATTACTTCCGTTGCTGCTTTGAAATTAAAGAGGCACCTCGCTCCCTTGATATATGTATGATTCATGCGCTCGTCTTTTAAGTAGGTTATTCGAAAACTAGACGCATAGTTACCGGTTGCCAATTTTTTGTTTTCTCTAAAAATTCTGGAGAGCTGCCCGACAACCTATTGCCAACGCACTAAGGGATCTTTTAAGATCCATCGACATGATATTATATAAAATGCTGCCGCTAAAATCCTTGGCAAAATTATTGCGGAATATTACGTTCTGTAAATTATTGAATGGTACAGTATTATGGAGAGTTTTCAGTTTTCGGTAGCGGAAACGGGTTGGTTAATGCTTAACTATTGGCCCAGTTCGGTGACCTCTTCCCTACCTTCCATAAACCGCCAGACGGGACAGCCATATCGGCGGGCATGTTAGCCGACGTACAAGCCATTCGTCGAAGTAAACCTTTATCATCCCCGAATACATTGAAAATCTTTTCTATTACAGCCTTGACGACAAATTTCCCGCTACTTCCCGCTATAATTGTCAGATCAAATTGGGGAACTGTAACAGCTGAACACAGCATTCTGGTGGCAATAAATCCCAGTATCACATAACATTTTTGTTTCATGCTGTATGAAAGATTGGTCGGGAATGTAGTAGTGTGGAAGAGCTAAGGGAGCGCAGATCAAGCGGAAGTAGGAGTTTAAGCCCGAATCTGCAATGCAAATCAATATGGGAATACAGTAAGTTGAATTGTATTGAGTTCTCGTCTTCACTATGTCCAAATGTCAGGTAGACCGAAAACTAGTGCTTGCACAACCGCCAATAGTTTTTTTGGAAAAGGCTTTACAACACCGAGTAAGATTTTTGAAACAAAAGCTCGTAAATCTACATGTACTGGTATGGATGGTGGTGTTTTACGTAGAGTTATATAGTCCGCGGTTTGCGGCGGCCATTCAATTTCTGTAGTCAAAATAGTGTGCCATGCCCTCGCGGCAAAAATGCTTTCGCGGACGCTGGCAAACATTGTTTTGCAATGTTGTATGATATTGTGAGCATCAAGTACTGCCACCGTCGTTGCGAACGCACACGAGCGCACACTGGGCCTTTGGATGAAGGTGTGAAGCACACTGCCAGTCTAAACACAGGTGAGCTCTATAAACCGGATTTATGGCGTTGGGTAAATTGAGTAGGTTGGTGTGGAGTTAATGGTTGAGTAACTGAATTTCGATTGATGCTGAAGCGATTGATGATGAGTCGATTGATGATGAGTCGATTGATGCTTAATGAGTGATAGTTTCCGAAGCTTTTGTTCAAAGTACTCGTGCTATCTAGCGATTCTCGCCAGCGTTGATAATAAATACTGAATTTATGTACGTGCAGACCAAAATTATTAATTTGTGGTACATATTTTCCCGTTCCTTAGGAAACTAACGGATTTCATTGCCCATTTGATGGACTGGAGTCGACCCCGAAACCAAAACAGGCTTTTTGTTGTTTAATTTTTGGCTTTTGCATTATATTCTACCTATCTAAATTTCTGTGGTTTAAAACAGCAAGTGCAGCACGCAGACGATAGTTTGATGTTTATTTGTGGTTTTTTTCCTGTAATTCAGTGTAATTTTTGTGCTTTAATAGAATTATGTGCAAAATTACGAGTAATGTGCGGCAAAAGTTACAATAAAGCTTCGGACAACGATAAAGCAAAAGTTCTGAATACAGTACAATAAAACTTCTAAAAACGACTGCCAAATTAAGTTGGGAATTTTAAGTTCCACACTAACTTTTACGGCACAAAAAGGTATAGCTGCTGTTCAAAGATTGTTACAAAAAAACTTATACATTTTTACGAGGGTGTAAACCTTTTTCAGGGATTAGAGAATCGATAAGCTATAGGTCACTTCTATTTGCCCCACATTTTTATGGCGCATTGCATTTTTACTATGCACCCAAAAATTTTACGGCGCCTAATGCTGTGCACCACAAAATTTCCGGTCTGAATAAAAAGAACAATAATCTATAGTTATAACAAGTTAAAACTTGGTAGCAGCGAATCCGTAATGTTACTGTTAATGAAAATGTGAGGCAGACAAGGCAAATATTGCAAAAAAACAACGATCTTGTTTGTACTCGTACAATGCATTAAAAAAATGTTTGTACTCGTACAAAACAGTAAAACGGCATTGTTCGGCGATACTTGTGTGGAGTTTGTGAGCTTTATTTGTGGTACTTCGTATTAGTAAATAATTTTGTTTTTACATATCTAAAGATAATATTACGATTGTAGGACAAAACACCTCCAGGGCATTCACTGGAGTTTTTTTCACCGGAAACGAACTGAGCCGGCGTTTAGCTGAGCCGGCAATAACTCTCACGGTCAGTAGCTGCTAGTGACTGATACTCCTCTGGCACGCACGCCGACGTTCTGTCTGTTGATTGCAAGTTTTGTTGGCAGAAGACTGTTTGTTAGTAAATTTCGGTCTTAACAAACCAGTTTTTCTTCTGCGCAGTAACTGGTTTTAGCATTAGGCGAGTGTGCATAGCAATGGGCGTCGACACCAACTCAGATAACTCTCGTCTCACAATATTACTGTTTTTCTTTATAAGATCTAACCGCTTTATAGCCTTGTCTAAAAATGTACTTTTTATTTAACACTCAATTTTAGTAGCGCTTTACTTTTAAAGACAACTCTGCTTATCAAAATTCTATCCGAATTTACCTGAACTCGTGAGTCACGGCATTAGTAATATCGGCAACTGGCGGATGTAAAGCCATTTCTGTATACCAGTCCCTCGTAGCTCCAAAACCGATCATAACGCTCTTTTTAGAAGTTTTCCCGAGAAGTGGTACACGTGCATGTAAGGTGCACAGATACTAAGGCTATGTTAGAAGAATTCGCTTCGATAAATGTTAGAACTGCTCGTGTCTCGTGTTAGATTTTAATATAGAGAACATTACAATTTTGCAGCGCTGGTTGGTGCCCCGCGGGCCGGAGAAAAATTTTCGAGCCGAACTCGACAGTCGCCAGTTGTTACCGGTCGCAAGTGGCGCCGGTTTCGCGGACGATGTTCAGACATAGAGCATGTACGGAGTGGAATGGTATACAGGGTATAGCATAATATGCTATATATCGATATGTACGTACAAGCAAACCATATTATTATACAGGTTTGCTAGTCTTTGAACATACACCTACACAGTAAGGTAAACACTGAGGTTAAGCTGTAATCGGTAGAGGTGTACAAAATAGTTCTTCGTCATGAAAACACTAAATAAAACCATTGGTGCGAAGCAACTGTGCCTCACGTTGCCAAGAATTCACTGGCGTCAAGCTTCGCCTAAACAGTACAGATTACAGACCAACCACTCAGCGGCCTAATTGTCGATCAACCGGCTGTTGGCGGTGATGCGCTTGCACTTCTACCGGCGCAATCACAGCGTCCGCGCGCCTCTCCTGCGTTGAACCATAACGTGAATCGGTTTGCTACTGTAGCTTCTCCCCTTGTTTTTCTAACGGGTGCAAGGCATCCGGTCACCTTGGCGGGGCCATCCAGCAGCTGTGAGCCTGCGCATCGGTGAGCTGCTGGAAACGGTTAATGATAAATGCCCTTCCCAGTATTTGCCGTCGGTTGTCCGGATTCGGCTCCATATTGGCACGCGCGCAAGCCGCCTCTGCCCCTCTGCAGTGGGACAAACGTCAAAGTATTTTCAACCAAACCCCGTAAAGGAAGGAAATCGTATAAAAACCTGATGACCGCAGTTTTGTTTTATGGCGTTGTTAGCGCTCACGCTCAGTGAAAGACATTCACATCATCTTTACTACGTGCAATTTGATGCAGTGATTGTGCTTGCGCGTATCGTACCACTTAGTCGGGGTTCGATTCCCCGCGTGGTGCAGATTTTTATTTTATTCGTCAGTTGCGGATTCTGCTGGTCAGCGTCACCGCTATAGCGTGCCGTGCAATGGCCGGTGTACAAGACCTTTTGTGGTGTTTACATTGCATCTTGTCGAAGCGTAGGTTGTTTCAAATGCTCGGCATGAACGGAGGACGGAGGTTCCAACAAACCTTTGGATGTCCTGCCGACTAAGTGTCCCGTGACGAAATGTCGCGAGAGGAGATTTCGGCGACGAAGTATCTTGACAACGATAGTGATGGAAGCAAACCCACCTAAGGTTGAAATAAGAAGCTGATTCTGTGATAAAAACTGACACTCGGTAATTATTTTTTTCCATGATTATGTTACGTAATTTGCTTACCAATTGCTGTACGAGGGTTTTTTTGCTAGAACTTTACCACTGAATAGGCACACTTCGATTGTCGAAAATATTACGAGATTTATATTGCACAGTATAGCAAACGCATTTTTCAAGCGACTTTATTCCACCTTGGACAAAAAGCGCCGCTTAACAAAATCACATCTGGAAGGAAAACATTTCTGGTCAACGCTACATCACAGTCAATAATAAAAAGCAGTGGATCTAGTAAAGCCTGTACCAGCCGGAGAACACTAAGTTACATTACGTTAACAGTATCATTAAGAGCGCCATGAAGACCACACTGGGCTAGATGAGCTACTAGAGCAGCGACCAGTAGCAAGCCAGACTGGGTCACCGCCATTAGGTGCGGAGGATCCGAGATCTGGTGGATTGAATGTTTGACTGTGGCGGATTTTAGCGCTCTTCTCCGGGCGGCTGTCACCGATCGCAAACTAGACACATCCGCAAAGCGCCGAACCCACAAGAAGCCGGTCTATTACAAATAGAGTACGACGACGCCAACCAGCGGCAGGAAAAAGAACACCACAAAGGTCACAGTTTCCCAGGTGTTCTTGGAGTGGCTGTTGGCGGCGGGAATATCGTTAAGATAAATGTAACCGAACATGGCGTACTGTACGGTTTGTTCGCTTTTGAATTGGGTATGGGTTCGCCCTCTGACCACGGCGGATGAAATTATTGTTTTACTATAGAGTGAATCCGTCTTACAAAAAATAAAATTTTTAGGGGAAGCCGGCGACATTTCTCGGGTTGGATATATTCGCACATTATGCTATTTACTTCGCTGTGACTGCTTTAACAACTCCATTTCCGACAATTGTAGCTTTGGTCAATTGTCTGCTTTGAGGCACACATGATAGTTGCTACGAACCGCGATTCCAAGCCTGACTGGCACCGCGACATTTCGCCGCGGACAACTAGTCGCAGGACTTTCGGTCGCAGACATTTTGCCGCAAGGCCATTTCGCCTCGCGAAGTTTCGTCGCAGGACATTTCGTCGGGAGGACCTTACGCCGCGAGACCTTCCGTCGCATGGCCGTTCCGACGCAAGGAAATTCCGCCGCAAGGATATCTCGACGAAGCGACATTTCGACTAACCGATAAATAATTTATTAAGCTAACTCCAAGAGTCAGTATAAGGAAAAATAAAAAAAAAACGAAATCAAGCGAAACAACCTCAGAAACCTAAGAAACCAAAAAACCCAAGAAACCCAAGAAACCTAAGAAACCTAAGAAACCTAAGAACCTAAGAAACATACGAAACCTAAGAACCTAAGAAACCTAAGAAACATAAGAAACCTAAGAACCTAAGAAATCTAAGAAACCTAAGAAACCTAAGAGCCTAAGAGCCTAAGAACCCTAAGAGCCTAAGAACCTAAGAGCCAAGAACCCTAAGAACCTAAGAAACCTAAGAGCCTAAGAAGCCTAAGAACCTAAGAGCCTAAGAAACCTAAGAACCTTAAGAAACCTAAGAAACCTAAGAAACCTAAGAAACCTAAGAAACCTAAGAAACATAAGAAATATAAGAAACATAAGAAACATAAGAAACCTAAGAAACCTAAGAAACCTAAGAATAACTAAAAAAGCACAGGACCTATGAAAGTCTGAGAAAGACTAGGAAAGCCTAAGAAAAACTTAGAACAAGCTTCAAAAACTGAAAAACTATTGAGAATTAAGCGCGGTGAATGACTTTGCGGCGATAAGTCGCATCGTTCGAAATTTCCCAAGACGAATCGTCCGCGACCAAATGTCTTGCGTCGAAACGTCGCAAGGATAAAATGTCTCAAAGCATAATGTCCCCAACCGAAGTGTCCCAGCGTCCGAATGTCCGGCGGCGAAACGTCTTCGCGGCGAAAAGTCGCGCGTCGAGTTTGAGTGCGGCGAAATGTCACACTCCCAATTGTCCGGGTGCGAGCCTGACTAGTGCTTTTAAATATACAGAGTAGCGGCCTGATTTTGCAGAAGCTGCTGCAAGAAGTCTAATTATGGGATATATGCCAGTACAAGCATGCCACCGTCAAACCGCCGCTCCCCTTCCCGACCGCGTCGCGTCACCGCGCGCTGCACCGTATCGGCTCGTTCGTCTTCAAGGAACGCGAAGAAATCTTTTTAAAGTCCGGTTGCATTTTTAGTGGCCCGCCCTCGTCACCGGCGCCAGCGGTCAATGTAATCTTCATCTGGGCGTACCGGTACCATGAATACTGCAAAGTTCCGGAGAAAGCCACTCCCGCTGCGGAAAATCTATTGTAACCGAAACTCACGTTTAGGCGAATTCCCAACTTTTTTTGCTTTGGTAACGCATCAGCGCTTTTTGTTTTATTAGTGTTATTGATGCGATTTGCACGTATCTGTACAACGGGCAATAAAGTGAAAATGCAGGCTGGTGTGCTGGACATTAAATGGCATAGCAAACCACGAGGAAGTGTTGTTTTGGCTTTCAAGAAAGTAATGAAATTAAACTTGCTTGAATAACAGTACTTTACTGTCAACGGAAATCGTTGGCCAGAATAAAATGCTTCGTTGATTTCAGTTTTGCATTGATTTTAGCAGTTTCCGGGAAACCTAAATCCAAATTTATTCCGAAGGACTATTTTTGCAACTTGAAAGACTAGTACCAATCGGGTGTTAGTTACCTATGTCTTAGTATCCATGCGAACTTGCGACGCAAAACGAAGATATAAAAAATTCTGCAGATAGAATGACTCGATTGTCTTTGCTTTACTTCTCAGCAACACAGTCTTGTTGTTCTTTGCGTAAGAGTATTTTAGCACAAGCTAATCGTTGCAGCTTTCGTTAATGGGTGAGCGCCATAGGTATACCGTCCCATACTCAGTCATTCATAGCCAGTCACAACATAGTATTTGATATTAATCTGTAATTGCCGAAATTCTGCCCAGTGCGAAATTCAAGCCGAAGTTTGAACCGAAAAACAGAATTTCTCCTACAGGTTGCGCTGACACGCATACACAACAAAAACTGGCCGACAATTACAGTATGTTATGCCTAATAAAAGTGCAAACTTATTTTGGCAACAGAGCCCTTCTCTACAGCGGATTAGCAACCGCTAAGGAAAACAAAATAAAAAGCAAATCAGTCGCTAATCACTGTCATCATAACGATGCATTTCAATTAGTCGTCGTCGAAGCTGCTGTCGCTATCCACGTACCCATCGCTATCAACGTCAAACGACACGGATCTGAACGCTTTCCGAACACCATCTCGGTTACCGGTAAGCTGCCTGTGGCACCGCCAGCATTTGGTACTCAAGCACAATTTCGGAACCGCCAAATCCCTACCCGACACACTTGGCTTCCCATACAGCAAAACGGTATATAGACCGGGGCACGGCGAAGAGTACCAATACCATTCCGAGCTCTTAAAGCGAATCCCCTCTACACGCGCGAACACTTTGCTGCGATCTTTCAAAAATTCCGTCGCACGAAGGAGTCCCTGGGCTTTTCGTTTGTACTGTCGTCCACGAAAGCCAGCCACCACGAACTCGGATCCGTCCACCCCGACAACCTCGCCCCCAAACCACCAATGCTTATTGTAATCCACAAAAACCTCTTCTTTCAGCTGGAATTTGGCATCCCCAATTTGAAAAACCCGGGGTGTTCGCGGCTCAGCCTGAAATGCAAGCAACGGTTTGGGTGAAGCTTTTCGCCAGGACTGGATATCCGCAAACTGCGCATCCAGCAGTATGCCATCCCACACAACATTTGCTTTTGCAATAGATACATTCAGAAAGAAACAGAAACGAAATCGTTTTATTGGTTTACCTTGGTAAAGCACTTGGTCAACTGGACATCGGCCAACAAAGCATAAACCGTATTGACGTGTGGAGGAGTACGTACGAGGGATTCCACCGTACATCCACTGACTGTCCGCCCACACCTTACAACATACAACACCGGATATCAGCGCCGATCAGTTCTGTGATTCGTTATATCTACGGCTTAGCGGTGTATCTGATGTTTTTACTTCTGAGTCTATTTAAGTCTGAGATTTTACTAATATCAAAAGGGGATTGGATTTCAGTTTTGGATTTCTGATCTGACGACTACTTGCTTTTAACTTTCCTTGTGTTGTACATATGATTGTGTGTTAGCGGAATAAAGCATCTTCTGTGATTATCGACGTTCGTAATTTGTATCGGATTATAGCGTGGTAAACACGGTATGCTCGTGCTTCGTCCAACCCGCATATGTAACGACCCGAAGTTAGGAGTATTATTCAGCATAATCGCTTAGGGATTCCTGATCTTCGTGTTCCTGAACCTACCAGATTCCGCGTATTTCCTGTGATCCGCTGTAACAGTTGAGACAAGAGTTGCGATACTCACTGAGCAAGGCAGGGATAGTGGTTACGACGATCCCGTCCGGAGAGTCGTTAGTTAATCGCGTACTTCTTGGTACCGTTGACAAACTCATAATACGACATGGCGTCCACCGATGGTTTTTAATTTCCCGATGTTACAGCGAAATTAAGGAAGGAATCTGATGGTAATTAATTGATAGAATTGTGGTGGTCCGTAGAAAGGGGTCGAACCGAAAGGTACACCGAAGGAGGTCAGTGTTCCAGATCTGGCCTAGGGTTTTAACTGGGTGAGCTTACTCCCCCGGCTGAGCTTCCTCGCCCAATTGGCTGAGCTTCCTCGCCATTAATTAATTGATAAATTCGGACCGTAAATTCAGCAGTACAAACTGGTTGAAACCTTGAAGGTCAGCCAGAGAAAAGTGGTGGAAATAGAGAGTGAAAGTGGGTAATTTCCGGGTTGTCTGCGCAAAGCGATGACCGGAAAAAATAAAGCGTAAAGTGTAGCGTCAGTGCGCCTGGCTTACACTTAGATCGTAGCTGTAGATCGCATCAGAGCTAAAGCTATTGTCTACGGTAAACCTAGATTGAATCTTCAGCAGGTGAATACAAAGGCAGCGGAATCGCTAGCCAAATCAGTAGTTAGCCATATCAGGCAGCTAAAATCGTAAACAAACCAGGCAATCGGAGATTGACCTGCAGCGTGGAAAATAAAGTTGAAACTGGAACTAAAAGTAAATTCGTGGTTGAGACCGCAAAGATCGCCAGCAGTAATTAATCATAGGGAAGGCAGCAAATTGCCGTAATGGATTATTGTCCCAAACCTTAAAGGTGAGATGATGAACCAGATCTAACAGTAAGCACAATTGCTGCTGTTGTAAGGCACAATCGCCATAAACAAATTGTAGGGAATTGTTTTTGTAAGGCACAATCGCCATAAACAAATTGTAGGGAATTGTTTTTGTAAGGCACAATCGCCATAAACAAATTGTAGGGAATTGTTTTTGTAAGGCACAATCGCCATTATAGGGAATTCGGATTAAAACCGCAAAAGGTTGTAATCCATTGGACACAATCGCCAGTAGTAATTAATTATAGGGAAACGGGACTTGAACCGCAAAGGTTTGAGTCGGGAAGAAAACTGCACAATGGCAGATTTAGGGAAGAATAGTTCGAGGGCGATCATAAAGATTGACCCGAAGATTCTTGCCTTGTATCAGGAAGGACCGTATGATGCATCGCGCCAGAAACGATTTAAATTTAATGTGGATGTTATTCCACTAGAGCTGATGTATCGAGAATTGGGCATTGAGGTACCGGATGTACCGTATTGCGGATTACCTTGGGTTTAGTATCAGGAGGATCCAACGCTGCCGCAATACCAGCGGAAACGGCCCAATTACCTTAAGAATTGGTTGTCAACGGACAGGTGTATCCCTGAGCCGTACATTAAGGAATACGTGACTGATGAGCAGTTCAAAGCTGCCGCGGAGCGCGCATTGGAAAAAGCTCCAGAATTCAAAAAGGAAGTGGAATCACGGAAGTTACTGGCTGAATTGGGGGAAAAAACGCCTCAAGCCTCAGAACCGTCAACCAGATCCGTACAGGAGAAGGTTGTGGATTCGGTGTCAAAACTGAAGGACAGATCGACGCCAAAAGAGGTGCTAGCTCGTCCTCAGGAAGAAAATCAACCGGTAACGGAAGTGAGCCTCATTGATTTTGACGATGCCACGATAGGCACAGAAGAGGACGACCACTCGTCTAACTATGAAACACCGGCCAATAAACATGACGAAACATTGCACTTACCCAAGATGAAAATTGTGCGCACGGGTCAAGCAACATTTCATGCGTCCCAGGCCGGACTGGAGAACTTTCTTTCGGACAAAGACTTTGAATTCACCGATGAGGAATTTTTGGAACAAGCAGCTAATGTCGATGATAAACTGACAATAGCCAAAACAAAACAGGAAGTACAGGAAGTCGTGCGTGATTCGATTCCATTCCTCATCAAGGGAATACGCAGAATCGTGGCACAGTCTAAATTGAAGCTAGACTCCATCGGCGAATCGCAAAAGCTGGATCAGCTCCTACAGGAAGAGAGGAAGCAGAAATTAAAATTCCAGTCTGAATTTAATGAGATGCGGAAGAAATGCGAAGCAGCTCATAAAGAGCGGGATACCGCATTGTATAAGAATCGTGCATTATCCGATAGTTTACAAAATTATCGCGATAAATCGGACACGGATAAAAAGGAATACGACAAATTGTTGGAAGAGTTTCAACAATTAAAAGATGGTAACCGTGAGTTGGAAAATGCAGCGAAAGAACTTCAGAGGGAAAATGAAAACTTGCGGGCATCCAGAAGTTCGAAGGTGAACCAGCAGGCGGAAGCCGAGCTGCAAAAACAAAATCAGAAATTAACCGGACAGAATCAAAGGTTGCGTACTGAATTACAGCAACAGAGGGACGCCTATGCGGAATTACAAAAGAAAAATGGACAGGATGTGAATGAAATTGAATCACTAAGGAGACAGTTGAAGGAAGAACAAAAGCGCATTAATCCAAGTGTGGATTATGTGGCGGAACTACAACAAGAGTTAGCCACAGTTAAATCAGAGAACGAAATGTACTTGTCCTCTTCGCAAGCGGCAACGTCGGCAGTAACCAAAGATAGGGAAGAAACGCTGCTAGCAATGATTGAGCAGTACAAAATTGAGACTGCAGCAGAAAAAGCGGAGAAGGAGATACTACAAAAGGAGCGCAGATTAACGAAAGACTGTGCAAAATGCATTAATGCAGAAAAAGAAATGAGGGAAGCACAGGCAGCAGCTTTTGTGAGACAAACGGAAGTAGATAGATTACGGGCCGAAACTGACCAATGTCGAACCGTAATTTGTGATTTGCAACAAAAATTGCAGCATACGGGTGCGGCGTGCGCAGAGATGCAGGAAGAAATTCAACACTACCGGAATCAGCATGCAGCTCGAGAAGTACATTTCGAATCGGAGGCGCCGTTGAGCGCTGGCGATATTAACTCCCCGTCTAGGAAGGACCTTTACGATCACCAGATTTTTGAACCGTCGGATTCAAATCTGTTGTTGTCTCAACGTGAGCCCAGTACAGTGCCGCCACTAAAGCCGGCTATCCGAACAGAGAAAACGGTTGAACCACCTAAAATAAGAGAAAGGGAAAGTTTTATTAAACTAAAAAGAATACCGTCACAGAGGAAAGAAGTGTTGCAACGGCACACAGTTGAAACAGAACGTAGAAGGAAGAAAAGTGTGCGACATACGGAAACTGAGGAAGAAATGTCCGACACGGATGAACAGAGTGAAGAAGATGATTACCGTGAGCCGCCGAGTGCGACTGGTTCAGTCTCTTCCCGTTCATCCCAGCGAGTGATCCGTCAAGATCCGCGCACGCAAAGACAACAGGATACGGAAGGCAAAATTGTGGACATCCTGGCACAATTGGCAAAAAGAGGTTCTGAAAAACCAGAATCTAGTATGAAATTGCCGAACTTTGACGACTCACGTCCTGAAAAGATACATCAATGGGTAATTGCGGTAGATCAGTGTCGCACGACGAATGGATGGAATGACCGACAAACCTGCCAAGCAATTTCCGGTGCATTAAAAGGCGCTTCATACATTTGGTTTGCCGAATTGTATAAAGATAATCCGACGAGGACATGGAACAGATTCTTTAAACAGGCGTTAATCAGGCATTTCAACGGTGCATCGTCGAAGGCGGAAATGAGACGGGCAATGAATAACAGGCATTGCCTAAAGGAAGAATCAGTCCGGACATATATGGATAGTTTTATGATGTGGTTCAAGGAGTTACGAATTGAGGAAGAGGAACAGGTGGAGGTCCTGTTGGAAGGTCTGAAAAAACACAGACCGGGCTGGTATGCAACATTATACCGCAACAGACCAGAATCCTATGAAGAGTTCGAAGCGCAGGTGCAGGATTGTGAGAAATTGCAGAAAATTCTGGATGAGGAGAAAAAAGGCGGTGAATCACGACAACGCGTAACTATCCAAGAGCCAAGAAGTGCCGGCAGCATCAATGATGCAGAGAACCGTACCAATCGTGGCGGATTTCAGTCTCGCGGAAGTTACTTCCAGCCGCGTGGAGGCCGCGGAAATTATTTCGGTAACAGAGGCGGATACTCAAGACCGTATTTTGGTTCAGGAAATTACCAGAATGTCCAAGCGGGAAGTCAGCCGTCACAGCCGCCGCCGGCGCAGGCAACTTCCGTTCCGAACATATCCCAGCCGCAAGTACAGTACATTCCGTATCCCGTATACCAGCAGCCTCAGGCGCAGGAAATGCAACCGGTACAGTTTGCACAGACATTCCCACCGCCTCCCACATCAGTAATTCAACCGCAGATGCAAGCGCCTGTTGTCCCGATGCAACCAGTGCAGCAGCCGCTTCCACCATTGCAGAATTTCTAGCAGTTCCGGCCAAATGCTCCTGTAAATAATAATAATCAGGGTATGAATCAAGGGCAATTCCGACCGAATAATTACGGAAATAATTTCCGCGGGAATAATTTCCAGCGCGGTGGGTACAATAACAATTACCGGCAGCAACAGCCGAATAATAATCAAAATTACCGGCAGAATTCCCAGCAACCGAACCAGCAAGAACAGCCGCTTGATGAGAGGAACATTTGTAAGGAAGCTTGGAGAACGGCTCAGGGGAACGAAATCTGTTATCGCTGTCATGGGATGCATCCAGCATCGTCATGTCAAAATCCTTTAGCGGTTCCAAGATTGTATCGCCCAACGCCGGAAATCCTGAACAGATGTAATAATCCGCAAATTAACATAATGGAAATAGAGCCAGTAACTACTCCAATAATGGGCAGCGTATCAGCCAGTTGTAATACGTTGGAGGTGATAGATCCGAACAAGTACCCAGTAACTGATGCAGTGTGCCTGAAACCGACCTTGGACGCACAGGCGTGGTATTCAGTGATTGACGTGAACCACCACAAGGTGAAAACAATGATTGATACTGGCTCCAGCATATCGGTGATGTCGCACCAAATGGCGAAGGAATTGGATTTATATATACATCAGTGTCCAGATCACATCCAAGGGAGAGTGGTTCATACAGCCTATCAAGGAAGACAGCTAATTGAACCCATGTGCGCGGTCATAACTATTCATGAATTCGGATAAGCGTTTGAACACGCAATCTTGGTCAGTTCAACGTTTGAACGGGACCATATCGTATTGGGATTGGACTTTCTAGCCACGAAACCTTTCATTCTGGATATGAATACCATGACGTGGAGACTCTCTCGTCGACGTCCGAATTCTCCAATGTGGTATCCAAGAAAAATGCACTCAACGGCTGACATTATCAGAGCACATCATTTCGACCCAATGATTCCACCTGGAGTGAAACCGTTGCCGTCCATACCGGCGTTAATGTTAACAGAAAGAATCGTCATTGCGAAGGAAGCACAATTTGTACCGTACGAATCAGCTCACCTGATTTTAACTAAGGCACCAGCGGAAATTTGCATGATGCATATCCAGCGAGCGAAAGAAGAATGGCCGCGGCCTCCGAAACAGGTATTTGATCAAACTGTAGCCCAAATAAGCACGAAGTCACTGGACTCGAGTCAGATGCCATCGGGGTCGAACCAAAGGGATCGGGCATTCCTGGAAGAAGCAGTAAAAGAGTCGATCAAAGGTTATGCAAACCTCAAGCAGGAAAAGACTATTAAGCGGGAGGAAAATGGTATACCAAAACGTCAGATGCCATCGGGGTCGAACCAAAGGGATCGGGCATTCCCTGGATCCACGATGGATCCACGACATGGTGGATCCACCGATAAATCCTGTTCCCAGTCAAGTTTGTGGGGGAGGCGCGATGCCGAAGCAGAATGTTCAGAAGGAAGAAATAGCCGACGGCGTTGTGAAGCCGTTATCGGCAGTACAAATTCCGGTAAAAAATTCTATAATTAAACCAAGTCGATGTTTTGCAATTGATGCTAGTCAAGTTTGTGGGGGTGGCGGTAAGCCTATTAAATCGCTCACCACGCTGGCAGCGTTGCTATATATTTTGCCGGATGAACAGTACACGTTTGCGGGTTTTCCTAAAAAGACAAATAAAACAGCCGAATGCGTAGTGTTTGGAAATAAAGTGTTAAACGTTGTACCGATCGATTTTAACCATCAGCATGTTGATGAAACACATGAGCGGGAATATCCCACTAAATTAGCCAGAAATCCAGAGTTGATGCGTTGGATGATGCCGCCGACTCGGCCGCAGGACAGAGACCGATTTCCAACAGAAAAACAATACAGAGATGTAGAATTCTGGAAAATTGAGCAGCAAAATTGTATGGATAGCCGAATGTGGTTGCGTTATCTAAACAGACCCGAATATGCGAATATAAATTACTTAAAGTACGAATTGAACAGAATGATCACCTTCGAAGGGTTGATCTGTCGAATTCCCGATCATGACGGACAATGTCCACGTATCTATGTTCCATTTCAGTGGCGCGAGAAGTTAATCGCTAAATTTCATGAAAACTTAATACATAAACAAGTGTATGGTCCAAGAGAAAAACTTTACCCGTACCTCGTGAAAATGTTTTACTGGCCGGACATCATTATCCAGATAGAGGAGTATGAGAAGGAATGCGAAGAATGCCGCCACTCCCTGAATTATAGGCAGCATTACAATTCGGCGCACCGAAAGGAACTCTTAGCGACTCCAGATAAGAAAACAGTTAAATTTTCACCGGAAAATCCAGCTCCGGCGGGGGATTTTGAAGATGGTACATTCGTTCCAGCAGAAGATATGCCGTTGTCAGATATGGGCCCAGTCCCTGTTTCCTACGAAGACAGAATGGCGCAGAAGCAAAAGCTGACCCGTGAACAGGCGTTAAGTAAATTACCGTTCGGTCTGGACGTGTCCAACATCCAGTTGTCACCCAAAATGGCACCAAATGATTCAGCAGTTTATGTCGGAGCTCCACAGGATCCGATGGTGGCATATCATGGACAGCAGAAAAGAGAACAGTTACCGAGTTGGCAAAATCCGGAGTTATTGGCGACACAAGCCGCCACGGCTGATGTAGATGTGGGCGAACAACATCGTATCTGGAACGAGATTCAACAGAGCAAACATCTTAATGTCAGATTAGAAGACAATATTGGTGAGGAAAACGTGGAACAATGGGAATTGACCAATACGAATATAAACGGAAGCGAAAGTCGGGCGCGAGTCGCCGTTTAAAACAACAGTTAATTCAATTAGCGTTGGAACGTGAAAAATTAAATGAACTCACCCAGCAATGCATCCAGCAATTAGAAGAAAATCAGCGAGTAATAATGGCGCAAGAAATTCAAAATTGTTTAACACCGGCGATAAAATCACAAGATGCACGGGATTTCAGGATATTCCGGCGCATGTGTACACAAAGAATGGTATCCAAACAGTGACACGGGGATTGGAAGCCCAGAGTGAGGCGGATGTTGTCGAAACGGTTAGCAAAACAGAAGATGATATATACCGGGTCGAGCCAGAGCCGGTGCCCATTGAATTTTTCAAAATGGAATTATTCCCTACGTCCCCAGTAATTATTCAGCCGCGTTCCCAAGGAATTATCCGAGTCAGAACGGATATGCCGGCCCAAAAACTGCAAAAATTCCAGGAGAAAGATCTGCAGAAGCTACCATACCTGTACGAAGGCAAAATACCGACTAACAATAAAAACGTTCTTTTATTCGATGGCGTTGTGTCACTGAATGAAAAAGGAAATACACGTATTTGCGTCATGAACGCCTCGGACAAACATATGGTTTTAAATCGGGAAACGAACCTTGGCAGTATTGTGGCGGTTGACGAAGTGTATCAGGTCGATACTCCGGGATATTGGGAGAATTATCACGATGAGTTCTGTAAAATTCCACGGGATGAAAATGGTACACCGATGGCAGAAAGAATGTGTGAATGCTTGGCAATACAGGCACAGGAGGCACAATCGGACACGGAAATCGACCCTGAAACAGAAGAAACGTTTGCTAAAATTAAAATTGGTGAAATTTGTCCGGACAAGGAAGCGTTAAAACGGATCTTTTATGAAGCGAAATCAGTCCTACCTACACAGGCTCGTCCCGTCGGATGTTGCACCATTTATGAACACTCAGTCGATACAGGAAACAGTGCTCCAGTGCGTACCCCACCTTATCGTACGTCGTTTGAGGACAGGAAATGGCTTCAAGCCAAGACGGCGGAAATGGTCAGAGATGGGATAACAGAACCTACTAACTCAGCATGGGGAAGTCCAATATGCATCGTTAAAAAGAAGGATAAATCGAGGCGACTTACCGTAGATTTCCGGAAGCTGAATGAACGGTTGTTGGGAAGTTCTTACCCTTTACCACGGGTTGACGATATCCTAAATGCATTGGACAAAGCAACTGTGTTCTCAAAAATAGATCTTAAATCGGGATTTTGGCAGATAAAAATCAAGCCAGAGGACAGAGCGAAAACAACAATGGTGGGAGAAGAGTTTACCTTCCAATACAGAGTACTTCCATTTGGGATGAAGGACGCGCCGTCTGCGTTCCAACGTGCAATGGATTTAACTCTGGCAAATATGAAATGGCGCAACGTGTTGGTGTTCATAGACGACATAATTGTTTTCTCCAAAATCCTGGCAGATCATATGCGGGATTTACGGGAATTATTCCTTCGGCTTCAGGAGTGTGGCTGGACCATAAGTCCTGAAAAAACAGAATTATTTGTTAGGTCAATTACATTTTTGGGACATACTGTAGATCAGCATGGTATAAGCACAGATCCTGAAAAGATTAAGGCGGTCCAGGAATTCGGCCCTATAAAAGACAAAAAAGACATTCTCAGATTTTTAGGAATGGTGGGATATTACCGCCAGTTCATTAAGAACTTTCAAGAGAAAGCAGATCCGTTGCAACGCTTGATTCCTAAAAAAGCGGACTTAGAATGGGGACCAGAACAAGCAGACGCTGTGCAGGAACTCAAAGACGCACTTACCTCGGCACCAGTGTTGGCTCGGTACGACCCAGAGGCGAAGTCTAGAGTTGTCGTTGATGCAAGTACAATTGCAGTTGGAACAGTTTTTATGCAGTGCCCGAAAGGAAAGGAACAGGAAGGATCGGCAAACTGGAAATCTGTTGCATTCCTGAGCAGAAAATTAACGGAGACGCAGAAGAAAATTTACTTTCCAACTGAGTTGGAGGCGTACGCATTAATTTGCGCGTTGAAGAAATGGCGCCATTATCTTTCGGACTACGAGTTTGAAGTCCAGACGGACCATCAAGCGCTTGTATTCCTTCACAATATGAAAGACACGGCGGGTCGTCTTGGAAGATGGGCGTTGTATGTGCAACAGTTTAACACTAAGCCGGTGCACATACCTGGTAAAGAGAATGTGATCGCCGAT